TGAAATCTGCCAGTCAGACATGTATACCTTACAATCATTCCATACACCAAATATAGAAGCCCTATTGCTTATATTATCTGAGAAATAGACAAAACCACAAAAACTAAACTTTGTCCACTGAACCATGAAAATGAGGTCAAGGTCAGATGAAACCAGCCAGTCTGACATGAGACCTTACAATCATTCCATATACCAAATACAGTTGACTTATTGCTAATAGTAACTGATAAACTGACAAAACCAATAAAACTTAACATTGACCAATGAACCATGAAAATGAGGTAAGGTCATATGAAACCTGCCAGACAGACATGTACATTTTACAATCATTCCATACACATAATATATTGGTCCTATTGCTTAAGTATCTGAGAATTAGACCAAACCACGTAAACTTAACATTGATCACTGATCCATAATATGAGGTGGAGGTCAGATGAACTCAGTCTGACATACATGTAGATCTTGCAAGGATGCCATATACCAAATAAAGCTACACAAGTGAGTATTTCACTTTTTTACGTCTGTCTAAAGTCAAGAACCTCTGGCCTTTGTTAGTCTTGTATGTTCTTTTAATTTTGGTTCATTTATATGTTTCGGAGTTAAGTGTGACATCCATTCCAGTTCCATTCTCAATTTTACTGAACCATGAAAATGAGGTCAAGGACAATGGACATATGACAGACAGAAACTTCGTAACATAAGGTATCTGCATACAAGGTATGAAGCATCCAGGGCTTCTACCTTCTGAAATATAAAGCTTTATACAAATAGTTTGTCATCGCAGGATTAAAATCCCTATGTCCTGCATTCTGCGACCTTCATCACAGGCGACACAAAAAAACATTGATCTTAAAAAATTCTACCCAAATTCGTACTTGATCTGATTTTGTAGTAATAAGTATTGTGTATAAGTTTCATAACATTTGGTTGAGGCAAACTTGATAGAAAATGGGAACAAAAAATTCAGCAATTTTTTTATTTGTAAAGGGGCATAACTCTGTGAGAGGTAAAATTGACGCCACCAAAATTCAAACTTGATCTGTGTTTTGTGGTAATGAGCATTGTATATAAGATTCATAACATTTGGTTGAGGCAAACTTAAGTTAGAGAACTGAAGCCAATTTCGGGATGTACGGACAGACAAGGGTAAAACTTAATGCCCCTTCCACTACCTTGTGGTACAATTTTATACAAATCCATACACTTCTACTCAAGTTATTGTACAGAAACCAAAACTAGAGGCTCTAAAGAGCCTGTGTCGCTCACCTTGGTCTATGTGCATATTAAACAAAGGACACAGATGGATTCATGACAAAATTGTGTTTTGGTGATGGTGATGTGTTTGTAGATCTTACTTTACTGAACATTCTTGCTCCTTACTATTATCTCTATCTATAATGAACTTGGCCCGGTAGTTACAGTGAAAATATTTCGTAAAAATTTACAAAAATTTACAAAATTTATGAAAATTGTAAAAAATTGACTATAAAGGGCAATAACTCCTAAAGGGGTCAATTGACAATTTTGGTCATGTTGACTTATTTGTAGATCTAACTTTGCTGAACATTATTGCTGTTTACAGTTTATCTCTATCTATAATAATATTCAAGATAATAACCAAAAGCTGCAAAATTTTCTTAAAATTACCAATTCAGGGGCAGCAACCCAACAACGTGTTGCCTGATTGGTCTGAAAATTTCAGGGCAGATAGATCTTGACCTAATGAACAATTTTATCCTCATCAGATTTGCTCTAAATGCTTTGGTTTCAGAGATATGAGCCAAAAACTGCATTTTACCCTATGTACTATATTTTAGCCATGTCGGCAATCTTGGTTCGCGGGCGGGGTCATCGGACACATTTTTTAAACTAGATACCCTAATGATGATTGTGGACAAGTTTGGTTAAATTTGTCTTAGTAGTTTCTTCAGAGAAGATTTTTGTAAAAAATTACAAAAATTTACGAAAAATGGTTAAAAATTGACTATCAAGGGCAATAACTCCTTAAGGGGTCAACTGACCAATTTGGTCAAGTTGACTTATTTATAGATCTTTCTTTGCTGAACATTATTGCTGTTTACAGTTTATCTCTATCTATAATAATATTCAAGATAATAACCAAAAACGGGAAAATTTCCTTAAAATTACCAATTCAGGGGCAGCAACCCAACAACAGGTTGCCTGATTATTCTGAAAATTTCAGGGAAGATAGATCTTGACCTATTGAACAATTTTATCCTCATCAGATTTGCTCTAAATGCTTTGGTTTCAGAGATATGAGCCAAAAACTGCATTTTACCCTATGTACTATTTTTTAGCCATGTCGGCCATCTTGGTTCGCGGGCGGGGTCATCGGACACATTTTTTAAACTAGATACCCTAATGATGATTGTGGACAAGTTTGGTTAAATTTGTCTTAGTAGTTTTAGAGGAGAAGATTTTTGTAAAAGATTACAAAAATTTACGAAAAATGGTTAAAAATTGACTATAAAGGGCAATAACTCCTTAAGGGGTCAACTGACCATTTTGGTCAAGTTGACTTATTTGTAGATCTTACTTTGCTGAACATTATTGCTGTTTACAGTTTATCTCTATCTATAATAATATTCAAGATAATAACCAATAAACTGCTTCGCTGAGCGCAGCTGGATACGCCCGCAGAGGTCCAACCCTGAACAGTTGGGGCAAAAATGGACACAATATTCAAGCTTGATACAGGTCTGAATTTGGTTTGTAATTAAATATTTGACATATTATAGGTTTCTGAATAAATGCAGTCAAAGAACTTGAAATTGGTTTTATGAATTGAATTGTATTCAATTAAAGATTTCTTGCTGTTGTGCAATACACTGTGCTGTTGCGCAATACTTAGTAAATCTGTTGTCAGACTATAAACAAATAAAGTTCAATTTCTTCTCAATGTCATATTTGAAATTTATGAAAATCAATAGGGAGATTACATCAATAGCTTTAAATAATTCACCAAAGTTTCATGAGAACTACTGAGAGCATTTTTGAGTTATTGTCAAAAACTTGAAAATCCCCCCTTTTTTAATGAATAAAACCCCATAACTCAGAAATGTAAAATCTAAAATTTATAAAATTCTAAAGGGAGCTTACATCAACAGATATAAACAATTCACCAAAGTTTCATGAGAACTGCTGAAAGCATTTTTTAGTTATTGTCAGAAAACTGGAAAATCACCCTTTTTTTATGAATAAAACCCTGTAACTCGGAAAGGTAAAATCTAAATTTTATAAAAATCGAAGGGAGCTCATGTCAATAGTTATAAACAATTCACCAAAATTTCTTGCAAGTTGGTGAAAGCATTCTTGAGTTATTGTCAGAAAACTGGAAAATCCCCCCTTTTTTAATGAATAAAACCACAAAACTCAGAAACGGTAAATCTGAAATTTATAAAAAATGAAAGGGAGCTCACATCAATAGATATAAACAATCCACCAAAGTTTCATGCATATTGGTTAAAGCTTTTTTGAGTTAATGTCCGACATGTTGACAACGGACGGACGGACAGACGGTCAACGGTATACCATAATACGTCCCGTAAATGGGCGTATAAAAACTGCAAAATTTCCTTAAAATTACCAATTTAGGGGCAGCAACCCAACAACGGGTTGCCTGATTGGTCTGAAAATTTCAGGACAGATAGATCTTGACCTAATGAACAATTTTACCAAGTCAGATTTGCTCTAAATGCTTTGGTTTCAGAGATATAAGCCAAAATCTAAATTTTACCCCTATGTTCTATTTTTAGCCATGGCTGCCATCTTGGTTGGTTGGCCGGGTCACCGGACACATTTTTTTAAACTAGATACCCCAATGATGATTGTGGCCAAGTTTGGTCAAATTCGGCCCAGTAGTTTCAGAGGAGAAGATTTTTGTAAAAGTTAACGACTACGGATGACGCCGATGGACGACGGACGCCAAGTGATGAGAAAAGCTCACTTGGCCCTTTGGGCCTGGTGAGCTAAAAACTGTTTGCTTTGAGTCCCTTTTTGGCCCAAAATTCTTAAACGGTTAGAACCATAACCCCCAAAACAATCCCAACCTTTCTTTTGTGGTATGGGACCTTGTGGTACAATTTCATCGAGATTCATAGTCTTATACTCAAGTAATTGTCTAGAAACCAAATGTCTTCGGACGACGACAACATTCCAATACCATTATACGACCACAAATAGTGAGTTATCTCCACTTTCTGACAGTTTTGTGGTTTATTCTATTAAATTCAATGGAATGAAAGTTCTGCAGAAATAAAAGTGTATCTGAAATGCATTTTTGAATGGTTCCAAAAAAATTGGTTAACTGTATTATATACCTTGTATAGTTGAACAGTCCACTTTATATTGTCATTTGATTTGTTAATTCTTCTGGGAGTTATGGGCCATTAAAGACCTATTGTAGCATAATGATACCTTGTAAACACTACTCTTGTGAAACTGGTTGCCAGAAAGTTTTCATACTTGGTAGGATTGTATGTACTCATGTTTACTAGCATCTTGATTTAAGGATTTTTCCAGAGACTAAGACCATAATTGGCCTATTGTAGCACAACTACAGTTTTTGAATGCTTTTTTGTCAAGACCATATCAATAAATTGCTTCACCGAGCGCAGCTGGATATCACCGCAGAGGTCCAACCCTGAACAGTTGGGGCAAAAATGGACACAATATTCACGCTTGATACAGGTCTGTATTTGGATTGTAATTAAATATTTGACACATAATAGGTTTCTGACACAGAATATCTGTAGTCAAAAAATTAGAATTGGTTATATGATTTGAATTTATATTCATTTTTTTTGCTTTTGTGAAATACACTATGCTGTTGCGAATTGACCCACCCCCTTTTTTTTTGCAAAAAAAAAAATATTAGAAGAAATTTTCTTTTTAATTTCTGAAATCTGAAATGAGAAAAAATTGTCCCCCCCCCCCCCCACAACTTTTTTTTTCACCTCCCCTCCCCCCCCCCCTTTTTCAGAAAAAAAAAATCTTTCCCTCAAGATATGGTCATAATCTCAATTCAAATTTCCAACAGAGTTTGCAACCGTAATTACCCATTTATAAACATCATAAAAGTCTTAAAATAGATAAAATGCTCCGCTGGGGCGCAGCTTGATACGACCGCAGAGGTCGAACCCTGAACAGTTGGGGCAAGTATGGACACAACATTCAAGCTTGATACAGCACTGAATTTGGATTGTAATTAAATATTTGACACAGCATAGGTTTCTCACACAGAATGAAAGTGGTCTAAGAACTTAAAATTTTTTAATTTACCCATTCAAACCATATCATTATTATTTGCTTTTATATATAAATCAGAAATAACCAATTTAAAATGGAAAATTTTAAAGAAAATAAATGTGGATAGTGTCCACATGTGGACGCAGATGATGCCCCTGCTTGCATATCATATAGTTATAAAGGGACATAACTGAAGAACGGTAAAAGTGACGCTACCCAAATTTGAACTTGATCTGAGTTTTGTGGTAATAAGCATTGTGTGTAAGTCTCATAACATTTGGTTGAGGCTAACTTAAGTAGAGAACAGAAACTAAAAATTCAGCAATTTTTCTATTTGTAAACACGCATAACTCTAGAACGGTTGTGTATAAGTTTTACAACATTTGGTTGAGACAAACTAAAAAATTCAGCAATTTTTATGTTTATAAAGGGACATAACTCTAGAATGGTAAAAGTGTTGCCACCTAATTTCGTACTTAATCTGTATTATGTAGTAATAAGCATTGTGTATAAGTTTCATAACATTTGGTTGAGGCAAACTCAAGTTAGAGAACTGAAACAAAAAAATTGTACTTGATCCTTACTGAGTTTTGTGGTAATGAATATTGTGTATAGGTTTCATAATGTTTGGCTGGGGAAAACTTCAGTTACAGAATGGAAACTAAAAAATTTTGCAATCTTTCTATTTAAAAAGGGGCATAACTCAATAATGGTTAAAGTGACACTACCCAAATTCAACTTGATCTGTGTTTTATCAGTGGAAGTCAAAATTAAACATTGCATTGTATAAAGCATTGATTGTAGTTGATTCAACTATAATCATGGTCAAAGGAAGATAACTCCAATTTTAAAAATATATTATATAAACTTGATATTTAGAAGAAAATAAAAATTTTGCAATTTTTCCTTTTATAAAGGGGCATAACTCTAGATCGGTTAAAGTGACACCACCAAAATTCAAACTTGATCTGTGTTTTGTGGTAATAAGCATTGTGTATAAGTTTCATAACATTTGGTTGAGGCAAACTTAAGTTAGAGAACGGAAACTAAAAATTTTGCAATATTTCCTTTTATAAAGGGGCATAACTCTAGATCGGTTTAAGTGACGCCACCAAAATTCAAACTTGATCTGTGTTTTGTGGTAATAAGCATTGTGTATAAGTTTCATAACATTTGGTTGAGGCAAACTCAAGTTAGAGAACGGAAACCAATTTCGGGACGTACAGACGGACGTACGTACTTACGTACCGACGTACAGAGGGACAAGGGTAAAACTTAATGCCCCCTCCGCTGCGGCGGGGGCATAAAAACATACATGTGATGGACTGTGAAACTCAGATCAGGAGATTGGGAAATTTTGGTCAGGAGATTAGGACTCAGATCAGGAGGTTTTTAATCGACATAAATTTTGTCGTAAATGTAACCGTGTGCTGTAAAAATTGTCTTTTAAAGTGTGTTTTCTTCAACTTTCAATCCAAATGTATTATGTATTATGTATTATGTTTATAGTACCCTTGTACTTATAAAGTTTCTTTATCTTTATATTCTACATGTTCAATCTAACATTCCTTTTTTTTAAGTATGTTCTTTGAATTTTTCATTTCATTTGATTACCTATCTGCATTTGCAATTAGATTTTATTTGAATAATCTGAAACTCATTTGAATTTGTAACAAGGGTCATAGTTATTTTATGAATTCAATTTAAGCCTTGAAAGAAAGTATAGAACCCTCAAATAATTTTCAAATTATTATTTTTTTATTTGTCCTAAGACATTTAAAATCATTTAATTACCATCCTTTTATGATTATTTGTTCAATTTATATTTTATTTATATTCTTTTAAAAATTTACATTATTTAAAGGAAAGTAACTTAAAACAGGATAAATCCAGGGAAGTAACTAAATAAATACACAAAGATTTTATTACACAACGGCAGCTAGCCTGAGGTAAAAATCGTTGATTACCAGTATGTTTGACACCCAAGCTGACAAGTGAAGCCATATAATTATGCATGTTAATTGATTTACAGGTAAAATATAACTTCAGGTGATGTCAGTTACACCAGATGTCTGAGATGATATGTTGGGCAGAAATTTTTCATTCATGAAAAATTTCATACACGGGATTTTTTTCTCTTCAACGCGAGGTCGGGAGGAGCCCCCTGAAAACAGGATTATTGTACTCCCGTCGGGAGGTTCACATGTATGAAAAAAGGAAAAAAAAATCCACCCCAATTTTTTTGAACCCCCTTATGATTCATCACCCCAAACTCAATCCCAGCTTTCCCTTTGTGGTATGGTACCTTGCAGTACAATTTCAGAGAGATCCATACACTTGAACACAAGTTATTGTCTGGAAACTAGAAAAATGCTTGTTTTTTGGCCCCAAATTCATAAACGTTTAGGGCAATTACCCACAAACTCAAACCCAGCTTTCCCTTTGTGATATGGAACATTGCAGTACAATTTCATAAAGATCCATACACTTACACACAAGTTATTGTCCTGAAACTAGAAAAATGCTTATTTTTTGCCCTTTTATGGCCCCTAATTACTAAAATTTTGAGGGAATTACCCCCAAATTCAATCCCAGTCTTCCCTTTGTGGTATGGTACCTTGCAGTACAATTTCAGAGAGACCCATACATTTGAACATTTGGAAACTAGAAAAATGCTTATTTTTGGCCCCTTTTTGGCCCCTTATTCCTAAACTTTTTGGGCAATTACCCCAAACTCAATTCCAGCTTTCCCTTTAAGATATGGAACCTTGTAGTACAATTTCATAAAGATCCATACACTTACACACAAGTTATTGTCATGAAACTAGAAAAATGCTTGTTTTTCGCCCCTTTTTGGCCCCTAATTCCTAAAATTTGGAGGCAATTACCCCCAAAATCAATCCCAGCCTTCCCTTTGTGATATGGAACCTTGTGATACAATGTCAGAGAGATCCATACACTTACACACAAGTTATTGTCATGAAACTAGAAAAATGCTTGTTTTTTGCCCCTTTTTGGCCCATAATTCCTAAAATTTGGAGGCAATTACCCCCAAAATCAATCCCAGCCTTCCCTTTGTGATATGGAACCTTGTGGTACAATGTCAGAGAGATCATACACTTACACACAAGTTATGTCTGGAAGTTACAAAAATGCTTATTTTTGGCCCCTAATTCCTTAACTGTGGGTACCATAACCCCCAAAATCAATCCCCACCTTCCTTTTGTGGTATTGAACCTTATGGTAAAATTTCATTGAGATCCATTCACTTAAACTAAAGTTAGAGTGCGAAAACTAATGTGTCTTCGGACGACGATGCCGGACGACGACGCCGCCAACGTCATACCAATATACGACCACAAATTTTTTTTTGCGGTCGTATAAAAATGACATACATAATCATGGCTAAAATTAATATTCCTTAATCAGCATTTTTAATAGTAACTTCTAAAAATAAATTGACAGCTAATCACCTCAAGACAATACAACATTTCTTTAAACATAATTTAAAAGCAGTGTAAGGGAGGTAATCCAAACATAACATTGTACTTTTAAGTAATTGTCCATTAACCAGGAAACCCTTGTTTTTCCCCCTTTTTTACCCATTATTCCTAAACGGTTTGAGCCATAACCCCTCAAAGTCAATTCTAACCATCCCTTTGTGGTATGGAAACTTGTGAAATAATTTCAGAGAGATCCATACACCTTTCCACAAGTTATTGTCTGGAAACTAGAAAAATGCTTATTTGGGCTCCTTTTTGGCCCCTAATTCCTAAATTGTTAGGACCATAACCCTCAAAATCAATCCCAACCTTCCTTTTGTAGTTATAAACCTTGTGTTTAAATTTCATAGATTTCTATTTACATATACTAAAGTTATTGTCCGGAAACCAAAAGTCTTCGGACGACAACGACGACATGATACTAATATACGACTGCAAAACTGTTGCGGTCGTATAAAAACCTTTCATACCCATTCATGTATGTAAATTTTGTTCCTCAGTCTCCTTTTGAGATAAAAATGTATTACATCTGTTTATGATGCAATTTAAGTTAAGAGGTTGTTCTCTTATATTATATATAGGCCAATATTAAATAAACAAGTGATTTCTTTTCATATTATTGGTCATGATAAATTTTTACAAAACAAATATAAAGACAAAAATAAATGACTATTTACAATGTCCATAACAATTTCAATAAAACAAGAACACATTGATCAGATCTTAATGTAAATGTTCTTAACCAACTTAAATCTAATGTAGTGAAAATACTCATTTTCCATGTTATCAATGATACATTGCACAAATATTTCATACATTTATTCAACACTTAGCTAACAAATTTCTATGCTGAACTGTTTAAAAATGAATAAAAAGATGAGTGTGTGATACAGCAACCCTAAAACACAATAAAACCAGAAAACATTTTTGAATCTTGCCTAATAAATTCACTTATATCAAATATGTCAAGTAAATACAAATATTCTGAAAACATTTTCAATTGTGGAGTTCTAAAGCTGCATCTCTATTTTGTTGATACTTTTACTTTGTATTAAATAATATCCAGATTTCATATTTATCCTGAAGTATTGTTTCATTTATTTCATATATTTGTCTTCTTGTTCTGCTAATATTTTGGCTGATGCCTTAGCATCATAGAAAAGTTTATTGATTTCTTCAATCTCCTCCTTTGAAATGGCATCTTTTCCATTGATTTTTGCTAAGAGATTTGATGGTGTCAGTAACTGCACTGAGTACCTATTAATAAAAATATTCATCAGTAAACTAATCATATTTAACTAAATGATCTTTATACTCTGTATTTTCGATATATATCTATTTATATATATATTGGTAAACCATACCAACATCTAAATTTAAAATTTGAAGGTGACCAGAGCAGCTTTACTATTCTATGTACAAAGTCTGGTTAACGTATGGGTAAAACCTCCAATGTGATATTTTTGTATATTAAAATTTTCAGTTGTTTCCCTTATCATATTCAGTGTGCACAATGTCAATATTTGTATTTTCCTATGTCTACATTCTTCTCATCTTCTTTAAAAATCACTTATGATGTCTTAGCAATGTTGATTTGATTTAAAGTTCCAAAATCACAGCAGTATGAACTTTTTATCTTTTTTGTGGCTAGTATTTTCAATATCAACATTTAGAAAACCTGATAAACTATATATATAAGAATGCTTTAACTTTCACCATTATACATTTTGTTTGATAAATATAACCTTTGATATCCTTCAAAGCTGTGATTTTGTTACCTCTATACTTTGGATTTTTTTCAGCTGAAGACAATTTTTCTTCAGATGATCAGTTCTATCACAAAGTAATTTTTTATGTATTAGACTGATTAATACAGGCTTTGAACTCTCTTCATAAAAGTATCCTAGTTGTATCAGTGCCAGTGTATCCTACCTTAATGTTGTCTGTACACCAATCTTTCCTAATGACAGGGCTGATTCTTCATCTAACGAAATGTTTTCTGTTGTTGCTCTGATCTTTAAGATCTACAAGACATGAACATATTTTTAATGGTTATAGTTGATTTTTTTTCTCTCAAAAAATTTGTGTACCATATGACCTCCTTTTTAACAAATTAAATAACAGTTAATACATATCTATTAATATACAAGTATTCTGCAAGTTATTATCTTCTACGAGATTCCCTTAACTATGTAAACCTATGTAAAGGTTTTTTTTTTTATTAATCTAAATGTTTTTGCTGTAGCAATATCAAAATAGGATGAACAAAAAATATCAAGTTTCACTTCAACCATATTCAAATGAAAGAATGTATGCACACAATTTGTATTGGTATGTTAAAAGTGAAAGTTATTAACGTTAGATGGGAGCTATGAGTCAGGGCTTCCAAATCAGTTGTGTTGTCCCGACTTGACCGTCAAATTATAATTTTGACTTGTTGTGTAGAACCTTAACCAGACATTTAACATGGGTTTGCCATTTTAACATAACTCGATCAGGAGTAAAAAATGAAGTTTATGCAATCCTTTTGATCTGACCTTTTTCTTAAACAGCCAGACATTTCCGGTCATAAAAGTGACATGATGAATAATTACTATCAAATCAAACCCTACTATAATACCCTCTAATTACAATCAAGGTTAAGCAACAGGTAAACTATTTCGTCCCAGACATTTGATCGGTCTATTTAAAGTTATTTTCATAAATTTCAGTGGTTTGCATCTATTTAAATCAGTCAAAAAGATTTAGATTATCAAAAATATATGTATAATAAAATGCTCCGCAGGGCGCAGCTTGATACAACCGCAGAGGTCGAACCCTGAACAGTTGGGGCAAGTATGGACACAACATTCAAGCTTGATACAGCTCTGAATTTGGATTGTGATTAAATATTTGACACAGCATAGGTTTCTGACACAGAATGAATGTGGTCTAAGAACTTAAAAATTTTCAATTGGACATTCACCTATTATGGTCCAATATCCAAAATCTAAATACATGGTTAGATTCAGCATATCAAAGAACCCTAAGAATTCAATTTTTGATGAAATCAAACAAAGTTTAATTTTGGACCCTTTTGACCTCAATGTGGACAAAGTTGATAACGGGGCCCAAAAATCAAAAATCTAAATACATGGTTAGATTCAGCATATCAAAGAACCCCATATATTCAATTTTTGTTGAAATCAAACAAAGTTTAATTTTGGACCCCGATTTGGACCAACTTGAAAACTGGGCCCATAATCAAAAATCTAAATACATGTTTAGATTCAGAATATCAAAGAACCCTAAAATTTCAATTTTTGTTAAAATCAAACTAAGTTTAATTTTGGACCCTTTGGACCTTAATGTAGACCAATTTGAAAACGGAACCAAAAATTAAGAATCTAAATACACGGTTAGATTCGGCATATCAAAGAACCCCAATAATTCAATTTTTGACGAAATCAAACAAAGTTAAATTTTGGACCCTTTGGACCTCAATGTGGACCAATTTAAAAACGGGGCCCAAAATCCAAAAACTTAATACACGGTTAGATTCAGCATATTAAAGAACCCCAAGAATTCAAGAATAAAACCCCATTGAAATTGATCAAGTTATAAGCAATTTATACGAAGTATCTTCTTTTGCACAATACTGTGCAATTGAATATTTCTTGCTATTGCGCAATACTGTACAATTGACAATTTCTTGCTATTGTGCAATATTGTGCTATTGGATATTTCTTGCTATTGCGCAATACTGTGCAATTGAAGATTTCTTGCTATTGCGCAATACTGTGCAATTGAAGATTTCTTGCTATTGTGCAATACTGTGCAATTGAAAATTTCTTGCTATTGCACAATACTTATTATATAATAACTTACACATCCTGTTTGGTGTGTATCTCCTACCATATCATTATTATTTGCTTTTAAATATAAATCAGTAATAACCAACTTAAAATGGAAAATTTTAAAAGAAAAAAAAGAAGGAAAAACAGAAAAAAAAAAGAAAGAAAAAAAAATCCCCCCCCCCCCAAATTTTTTGAACCCCCTTATGATTCATCACCCCCAAACTCAATCCCAGCCTTCCCTTTGTGGTATGGTACCTTGCAGTACAATTTCAGAGAGATCCATACACTTGAAGACAAGTTATTGTCTGGAAACTAGAAAAATGCTTATTTTTGGCCCCTTTTTGGCCCCCAATTCCTAAACGTTTCGGGCAATTACCCCCAAACTCAATTCCAGCTTTCCCTTTGTGATATGGAACCTTGTAGTACAATTTCAGAAATATCCAAACACTTACACACAAGTTATTGTCATGAAACTAGGAAAATGCTTGTTTTTTGCCCCTTTTTTGGCCCCTAATTCCTAAAATTTTGAGACAATTACCCCCAAAATCAATCCCAGCATTCTTTTTGTGATATGGAACCTTGTGGTACAATGTCAGAGATATCCATACACTAACACACAAGTTACGTCTGGAAGTTACAAAAATACTTATTTTTGGCCCCTTTTTGGCCCCTAATTCCTTTACTGTTGGTACCATAACCCCCAAAATCAATCCCAACCTTCCTTTTGTGGTATTGAACCTTGTGGTAAAATTTCATAGAGATCCATTCACTTAAACTAAAGTTAGAGTGCGAAAACCAATGTGTCTTCGGACGACGCCGGATTGACGCCAGATGACGACGACGACGACGACGACGCCAACGTCATACCAATATACGACCAAAAAATTTTTAATTTTTGCGGTCGTATAAAAATATGATTTGATGAAAAATTTGAAAAGGCAGTAATAAAGGTTTTCAGCAAAAAACCGTTGGACTAGTTCATGTGTGCGCATGTGCACACCGCAGGCGAGAGATTTAATTAGGCATCCAAATTTTTCAAAAATGCTAAAATTATCATTGATACCTTTATCTGAAATTCATTTAGAGTATTTTCTTGAAGAAATAATGTGGAAAGAGCTACTAAAACTCAATCGTGCTTCACAAACGTACATGGATTTTACGTATCCGTCTCTAGTCCGTGTTTTACCATTGTCAAGTCAACATCCAGTATTAAGAAAATGTACATTTTAAAAACAAAACGAAAGTTTTTATCAACATAATTATGGACAAATAAAGATTCTAAGGCAGATATTAGTACGCTAATGTTCCACACTTCGATTGATGCACTGTCAATTTAACAGTTTACGTCAGAACATCAAATTTATATCAAAATTCAAGTTTAATATTGTTTTTATGTCAATCATTGTTTATATGATGCCCAATTGATTACAATGATTGCCTTTTGTTACTAAGTCTTAAGAGATTAAAATTGGAATAAGACAAAAAGAGTCCGGCTGGCTCAAATATTTTTTTGGAAGCCCTGCTATGAGTAGGAGTAAACACAATGTGGAAAAAAACTATTTACAAGTTAAGTTCTGTAATTCAGGAACAAATAAATTGAAAAATTGGAAAGCCATTTTCATCAATTGTTCCAATGATTATATAAAAGTCATTTAAGATTCTATAATATCAAACTGGATTCATTATATCTTTGGTGAAAATAAAAAAAAGACAAGGGGACTGATGGAATGATTAACAATGGTCAAAATATAAAAGCAAGATGAATTTCTGCAAATAAAAAAAAAATTTTTTTGTAAAGTTCAATCACATTCTTATCTATTTTAAATGGACAAACTTTTGTGTAAATTTTCTTGACAAAATACAGTCCCAAAAAGATCAACATGTTTTCTCTTGGAGAATGGCATATATACATCTATACAAGTTCAAAACTAACCTGGACCATTTCTTCCTCTGAGTAAGGTAATGTTCTAATAATCATCACTCTGTCCAATAAATCAAGAGGAATTCCATGAGGTGCAACAATATCTTCAGTTCCTCTGTAAATATAAGTAATTATAATAAGTCTCGAGATATTCTGATTAATATATCCCTTCATGAAGAACAAAAGGTCTTAACAATTTGTTAACATTTTCTGTCATTTGTATTTTAGAGAGTCAAGTTTTAAGCTAAAAAAAAGTTGTTTTTAACTTTATAATAAAATGCTCCGCTGGGCGCAGCTTGATACTACCGCAGAGGTCGAACCCTTAACAGTTAGGGCAAATATGGACACAACATTCAAGCTTGATACAGCACTGAATTTGGATTGTGATTAAATATTTGACACAGCATAGGTTTCTGACACAGAATGAATGTGGTCTAAGAACTTAAAAAATTTTAATTTACCTATTCAAACCATATCATTATTATTTGCTTTTATATATAAATCAGAAATAACCCATTTATAAAATGGTAAATTTTAAAGGAAAAAAAAAATCCCTCCCTTTAATTTTTTGAACCCCCTTATGATTCATCACCCCCAAACTCAATCCCAGCCTTCCCTTTGTGGTATGGTACCTTGCAGTACAATTTCAGAGAGATCAATACACTTGAACACAAATTATTGTCTGGAAACTAGAAAAATGCTTGTTTTTAGGCCCCTTTTTGGCCCCAAATTCCTAAACGTTTAGGGCAATTACCCCCAAACTCAAACCCAGCTTTCCTCTTGTGATACGGAACCTTGTAGTACAATTTCATAAAGATCCATACACTTACACACAAGTTATTGTCCTGAAACTAGAAAAATGCTTGTTTTTTGCCTCTTTTTGGCCCCTAATTCCTAAAATTTTGAGGCAATTCTCCCCAAAATCAATCCCAGCCTTCCCTTTGTGGTATGGTACCTTGCAGTACAATTTCAGAGAGATCCATACACTTGAACACAGGTTATTGTCTGGAAACTAGAAAAATGCTTATTTTTGGCCCCTTTTTTGCCCCTTATTCCTAAATGTTTTGGGCAATTACCCCAAAATCATTTCCAGCTTTCCCTTTGTGATATGGAACCTTGTAGTACAATTTCATAAAGATCCATACACTTACACACAAGTTATTGTCATGAAACTAGAAAAATGCTTGTTTTTTGCCTCTTTTTGGCCCCTAATTCCTAAAATTTGGAGGCAATTACCCCCAAAATCAATCCCAGCATTTCCTTTGTGATATGGAACCTTGTGGTACAATGTCAGAGAGATCCATACACTTACACACAAGTTATTGTCATGAAATTAGAAAAATGCTCTTTTTTTGCTCCTTTTTGGCCCCTAATTCTAAAATTTGGAAGCAATTACCCCCAAAATTAATCCCAGCATTCCCTTTGTGATATGGAACCTTGTGGTACAATGTCAGAGAGATCCATACACTAACAAACAAGTTATGTCTGGAAGTTACAAAAATGCTTATTTTTTGCCCCTTTTTGGCCCCTAATTCCTTAACTGTTGGTACCATAACCCCGAAAATCATTCCCCACCTTCCTTTTGTGGTATTGAACCTTATTGTAAAATTTCATAGAGATCCATTCACTTAAACTATAGTTAGAGTGTGAAAACCAATGTGTCTTCGGACAAAGACGATGCCGGACGACGCCAACGTCATACCAATATACGACCGCAAAATTTTTTTGCGGCCGTATAAAAATTGATCAGAAGCTACATCCGGTTTACTCAAAGTTACTGTTGGTGCCCAATCATGGGGTTCTTCATACTCATTCAAAAAATATATGGCTTGTATATACTTTTGTCTGAAATAAGGGAGATAATTTGCTTCTTCCAGTCTAGAAAATGTCACTTCCAATTTCATATGATAGCTTTATTCACACTGCTTCCAAAAATATATAGTTTCTATATATAATTTTGCATGAAATAAAGGAGATAATTTGGTACTTCCAGTCTCTAATGATAGCTTTATTCTTACTACTACTAGGGGGGGGGGGGGTTAACAATCTTGACTACCCATCCAAAAATATATGGTTTCTATATACTTTTGCCTCAAATAAGGCAGATAATGAGCTACTTCAGGTTTATGGAAGGTCACTTCCGCTCTCTAATGGTAGTTTTATATGTCTTTAGAAATAATATATGTTTTTTAGGTACTTTTCAATGAAAAAAGTACAAAAATTGCTACTTCCAGTTTACTCAAGGTCACTTCAGGTTAACATCTTTCAAAGTCATATGTCACCAAACATTTGCAAAAGACCCAGTGGTTTTATCATGTACAATATTGAAGTAATAATCAATTAACCTTAAATTTCAACATATCAGGGGCAATTACTCCAATAAGATATCATCAGATTGCTTCGAACTGAACGTAGCATATATTCGTCTCGACAACCCAAATATTTATCCCCAGTTATTTCATAGGCAGCTTTAAAAGTATGAGATAAGATGCACACACAAGCAAAGGGAAAAATTGAAGAAGAAAAAAAAATAACCAGAACAAATACAATAGGTCTTTCCACAGAAAAATGGAAAGACCTAAAAATATACTACACAAATAAAAGCATTTTCACTGTACAAGAATTTTGATACATGTTCATCAAACAGTCTGTAATATATACCACACTATTCTTTGAGTAGCAATAAAAGCATTTACTTGTTATTGAATCAGCAATTTCTTCAGAAATTTATAAATTTGTGGACTTTTCTTTTTCTTCATTTCTAGTACAATATAACAATTACTGACCTAATTGTACATTTCCCTCGGTTTGTTGCAAATATAACAATTGGTGCTATCGTTGATTCTAAAGCTCTGTGAAGGTAGGTAAAACATTCTATATCTAACATGTGTACTTCGTCTATAAATAATACTCCTGGCACAAGTTCAGCTATACCCTGGTCTATATATTTGTTTACTACTTTATTGATTTCTTTTCTCAACTTATCTGTAAAAAAAAATAGTGTTTGTCAATTTAGCTGAGAGGAAGACATTTTATGGCTGTGATGAAATTTATACAAAGACAATAGGAAGATATGAGTCTTCAAAGGAAGACACATGACACTAGTTGTAGCTTTTCATATATTGGCACCAATGAGACTAATAACAAAGCACAAGACCTCAACAATCGATGAGAAAAGAAGTAATGAGTGGAATACTGCATTTTGAGAGGAAGTGCCCACAGAAGTTTGGATCCCATGGAAAAACATTGTTTTTTGTTTACTTGACCAACACAAAAAATCTAATTATAGATTTCAGGTAGATAGGATACTGCAATTAAAAGGTTTTTTTGTATCGTACAATTGGTTTTGTATCATGTGCACAGAATGATCCTTTGTGAGTGTCATTAAAAGAAATCAACCCTTGCTTAGAAGTATATAATGGGCACATTCATTCCATTATGATCAAAATTACAAATTTTCATATCTTTTGTTAACTCAATTTGGTCCTCGAATCAAAAGAAGCAATCCTTTCACTCTGACATATTTGCTTGACATTTTCATTTTTGGATCATGCTCTTTCCCATATAATGATCTGCAAGATGAGTTTTCAAGTGCAGTTGCAGGAGCCCATGACTTCCTCGAGTCTAAATGTTTTCAGAAAGAATGTACCGTACCACTACATTTATGAAAACAAAAATCAGTGATAAATAACAAATATTACCTGTAATTTCTGTTTTCTTTGGTTTCATTAACTGGCCCATCATCGACATAATATCTTGTCCTCCCTGCATTAAAACAAAGTACAGCCTATAACTGATTGGTTGTTGTTTGTGTAGTCTTCAGTTGCAAATATTTTATGCATAAGTACTGTTTTACAGAATTTTATTGTGAATCTTATCAATGATTATCTGTTAAACTTGACACTAAATTTGATTTTCTTTTCCTATAATTCACTGGAGTCTGCCTTCAAGCTAGGAAATCACCCGCATAAAAGGTATTGTTAAACATCAAATCTATAAAACAGGGTTGTAATCTGTTTTAGACATTTGCTCATCATGTGAAAAAAACTTTCTTTCCTGTGATACCTTTTAAATATGATAACTCTAAATATATTATATATTTCATTATATATTTCATGAAATTTTAGTTGTGACATTTGTATATGCTCTTTGCCAAATTTTCAACAAAACAGCTAGCACTTTATGGATTGCCATAAAAAAGGAAATCAATCTTCTCCTGACATTAACTGTTTTATACAATGAAATGCAATATCTAATTGTTTAACTGCTGTTTTTAAAATTTTGGACACAAAATGGTAGATAATGATCCCCAAATGTTGACTGTTGGGAAGTTAACATATTTAAAACAAACTTTATACTATACAATCTCCATGGACATTACCTGTGGTCTAGCATTAGCTATGTCTAAATCATGGAGTGTAACATCTTGTATGACTTCTTTCTTTTTGTGAACATCACCTTTAGGAAGAGGTACATATTCCTCAGCTTCTAAATCAAACTCTGTGGCATAGGAATCTGATCTTCCTTGTCTCTGAAATAATTCAAATAAGGAATTCAATAGAGACATAAGAATTTGATGTAGGGTAAGAGTAAAGACACAGATTTTATAGATTCTATTTTGGTTATCTTGTGTTGTTCTGTTGTATTAATGAATTTACCCATGCATCTCATCTTTCCCATGTAATAAGATCATTTCATCTGCAATTGTAAAACATGATCGACTTCATCTTTTTTTATTTTACCCAAGATAAAAATATAAAATTAAACATCACATAAATACAAGATTACATAGAAAACTTGATTAAAATGCTCCGCTGGGCGCAGCTTGATACGACCGCAGAGGTCGAACCCTGAACAGTTGGGGGCAAGTATGGACACAACATTCAAGCTTGATACACACTGAATTTGGATTGTGATTAAATATTTGACACAGCATAGGTTTCTGACACAGAATGAATGTGGTCTAAGAACTTAAAAAATTTTAATTGACCTATTCAAACCATATCATTATTATTTGCTTTTACATATAAATCAGAAATAACCAATTTAAAATGGAAAATTTTAAAGAAAATAAAAGGGAAAAAAAAATCCCTCCCCCCAAATTTTTTGAACCCCCTTATGATTCATCACCCCCAAACTCAATCTAAGCCTTCCCTTAATGGTATGGTACCTTGCAGTACAATTTCAGAGAGATCCATACACTTGAACACAAGTTATTATCTGGAAACTAGAAAAATGCTTGTTTTTAGGCCCCTTTTTGGCCCCAAATTCCTAAACGTTTAGGGCAATTACCTCCAAACTCAAACCCAGCTTTCCCTTTGCGATATGGAACCTTGTAGTACAATTTCATAAAGATCCATACACTCACGCACCAGTTATTGTTCTGAAACTAGAAAATGCTTGTTTTTGCCCCTTTTTTTGCCCCTAATTCCTAAAATTTTGAGGCAATTCCCCCCAAAATCAATCCCAGCCTTCCCTTCGTGGTATGGTACCTTGTAGTACAATTTCAGAGAGATCCATACACTTGAACACAAGTTATTTTCTGGAAACTAGAAAAGTGCTTATTTTTGGCCCCTTTTGGCCCCTTATTCCTAAACGTTTTGGGCAATTACCCCCAAACTCAATTCCAGCTTTCCCTTTGTGATATGGAACCTTGTAGTACAATTTCAGAAAGATCCATAAACTTACACACAAGTTATTGTCATGAAACTAGAAAAATGCTTGTTTTTTTCCCCTTTTTTGGCCCCTAATTCCTAAAATTTTGAGGCAATTATCCCCAAAATCAATCCCAGCATTCCCTTTGTGATATGGAACCTTGTAGTACAATTTCAGAAAGATCCATAAACTTACATACAAGTTATTCTCATGAAACTAGAAAAATGCTTGTTTTTTGCCCCCTAATTCCTAAAATTTTGAGGCAATTACCCCCAAAATCAATCCCAGCATTCCCTTTGTGATATGGAACCCTGTGGTACAATGTCAGAGAGATCCATAAACTAACACACAAGTTATGTCTGGAAGTTACAATAAAATGCTTCGCTGGGCGCAGCTTGATACGACCGCAGAGGTCGAACCCTGAACAGTTGGGACAAATATGGACACAACATTCAAGCTTGATACAGCTCTGAATTTGGATTGTGATTAAATATTTGAAACAGCATAGGTTTCTGACACAGAAAGAATGTGGTCTAAGAACTTCAATTTTTTTAATTTACCTATTATGGTCCAATGTCCAAAATCAAAATACATGGCTAGATTCAGCATATCAAAGAACCCCATATATTCAATTTTTGTTGAAATCAAACAAAGTTTAATTTTGGACCCCAACTTTGACAAACTTGAAAACTGGTTCCATAATCAAAAATCTAAACACATGTTTAGATTCAGCATATCAAAGAACCCCAAGAATTCAATTTTTGTTAAAATCAAACTAAGTTTAATTTTGGACCCTTTGGACCTTAATGTAGACCAATTTAAAAAACGGGACACAAAATTAAAAATCTAAAAACACGGTTAAATTTTGCCTAACAAAGAACCCCAATAATTCAATTTTTGATGAAAACAAAATAAGGTTTAATTTTGGACCCTTTTGACCTCAATATGAACCAATTTGATAGCGGGCCCTCAAATAAAAAATCTAAATACGTGGTAAGATTCAGCATATCAAAGAACCCCATATATTCAATTTTTGTTGAAATCAAACAAAGTTTAATTTTGGACCCCAATTTGGACCAACTTGAAAACTGGGCCAAAAATCTAAATACATGTTTAGATTCAGCATATCAAAGAACCCCATATATTCAATTTTTGTTGAAATCAAACAAAGTTTAATTTAGGACCCCAACTTGAAAACTGGTCCCATAATCAAAAATCTAAACACATGTTTAGATTCAGCATATCAAAGTCATTCAAAGAACCCCAAAAATTCAATTTTTATTAAAATCAAACTAAGTTTAATTTTGGACCCTTTGGACCTTAATGTAGACCAATTTGAAAACGGTACCAAAAATTAAGAATCTAAATACACGGTTAGATTCGGCATATCAAAGAACCCCAATAATTCAATTTTTGATGAAATTAAACAAAGTTTAATTTTGGACCCTTTGGACCTCAATGTGGACCAATTTAAAAACGGGGCCCAAAATCCAAAAACTAAATACACAGTTAGATTCAGCATATCAAAGAACCCCAAAAATTCAATTTTTATTAAAATCAAACTTAGTTTAATTTTGGACCCTTTGGACCTTAATGTAGACCAATTTAAAAAACGGGACCCAAAATTAAAAATCTAAATACACGGTTAGATTTGGCATATCAAAGAACCCCAATAATTCAATTTTTGATGAAATCAAACAAAGTTTAATTTTGGACCCTTTTGACCTCAATATGAACCAATTTGATAGCGGGCCCACAAATAAAAAATCTAAATACATGGTAAGATTCAGCATATCAAAGAACCCCATATATTCAATTTTTGTTGAAATCAAACAAAGTTTAATTTTGGACCCTAATTTGGACCAACTTGAAAACTGGGCCAAAAATCTAAATACATGTTTAGATTCAGCATATCAAAGAACCCCATATATTCAATTTTTGTTGAAATCAAACAAAGTTCAATTTGGACCAACTTGAAAACTGGGCCAAAAATCAAAAATCTAAATACATGTTTAGATTCAGCATATCAAAGAACCCCATATATTCAATTTTTGTTGAAATCAAACAAAGTTCAATTTTGGACCCCAATTTGGACCAACTTGAAAACTGGGCCCATAATCAAAAATCTAAACACATGTTTAGATTCAGCATATCAAAGAACCCCAAGAATTCAATTTTTGTTAAAATCAAACTAAGTTTAATTTTGGACCCTTTTGACCTCAATATGAACCAATTTGATAGCAGGGTCCACAAATAAAAAATCTAAATACATGGTTAGATTCAGCATATCAAAGAACCCCATATATTCAATTTTTGTTGAAATCAAACAAAGTTTAATTTTGGACCCCAATTTGGACCAAATTGAAAACTGGGCCAAAAATCAAAAATCTAAATACATGTTTAGATTCAGCATATCAAAGAACCCCATATATTCAATTTTTTTTAAAATCAAACAAAGTTTAATTTTGGACCCTTTGGACCTTAATGTAGACCAATTTAAACTAGAGGCTCTCAAGAGCCTGTGTCGCTCACCTGTATTTACTGATGCTTTGGAAATCATGTAAAATAAGGTTAAAATCATAATTAATAGTATTAGATATTAGATATTATAATGATATCTAAGATAATAACAAATAAAATGCTTCGCTGGGCGCAGCTTGATACGACCGCAGAGGTCGAACCCTGAACAGTTGGGTCAAGTATGGACACAACATTCAAGCTTGATACAGCTCTGAATTTGGATTGTGATTAAATATTTGACACAGCATAGGTTTCTGACACAGAAAGAATGTGGTCTAAGAACTTCAATTTTTTTAATTTACCTATTATGGTCCAATGTCCAAAATCAAAATACATGGTTAGAGTCAGCATATCAAAGAACCCCATATATTCAATTTTTGTTGAAATCAAACAAAGTTTAATTTTGGACCCCAACTTGGACAAACTTGAAAACTGGTCCCATAATCAAAAATCTAAACACATGTTTAGATTCAGCATATCAAAGTACCCCAAGAATTCAATTTTTGTTAAAATCAAACTAAGTTTAATTTTGGACCCTTTGGACCTTAATGTAGACCAATTTAAAAAACGGGACCCAAAATTAAAAATCTAAAAACACGGTTAGATTTGGCATATCAAAGAACCCCAATAATTCAATTTTTGATGAAATCAAACAAAGTTTAATTTTGGACCCTTTTGACCTCAATATGAACCAATTTGATAGCAGGCCCACAAAATAAAAAATCTAAATACATGGTAAGATTCAGCATATCAAAGAACCCCATATATTCAATTTTTGTTGAAATCAAACAAAGTTTAATTTTGGACCCCAATTTGGACCAACTTGAAAACTGGGCCAAAAATCTAAAATCTAAATACATGTTTAGATTCAGCATATCAAAGAACCCCATATATTCAATTTTTGTTGAAATCAAACAAAGTTTAATTTTGGACCCCAACTTGGACCAACTTGAAAACTGGTCCCACAATCAAAAATCTAAACACATGTTTAGATTCAGCATATCAAAGAACCCAAAAATTCAATTTTTATTAAAATCAAACTAAGTTTAATTTTGGACCCTTTGGACCTTAATGTAGACCAATTTAAAAAACGGGACCCAAAATTAAAAATCTAAAAACACGGTTAGATTTGGCATATCAAAGAACCCCAATAATTCAATTTTTGATGAAATCAAACAAAGTTTAATTTTGGACCCTTTTGACCTCAATATGAACCAATTTGATAGCGGGTCCACAAATAAAAAATCTAAATACATGGTTAGATTCAGCATATCAAAGAACCCCAAGAATTCAATTTTTGATGAAATCAAACAAAGTTTAATTTTGGACCCTTTTGACCTCAATGTGGACAAAGTTGATAACGGGGCCCAAAAATCAAAAATCTAAATACATGGTTAGATTCAGCATATCAAAGAACCCCATATATTCAATTTTTGTTGAAATCAAACAAAGTTTAATTTTGGACCCCGATTTGGACCAACTTGAAAACTGGGCCCATAATCAAAAATCTAAATACATGTTTAGATTCAGCATATCAAAGTACCCTAAAAATTCAATTTTTGTTAAAATCAAACTAAGTTTAATTTTGGACCCTTTTGACCTTAATGTAGACCAATTTGAAAACGGAACCAAAAATTAAGAATCTAAATACACGGTTAGATTCGGCATATCAAAGAACCCCAATAATTCAATTTTTGATGAAATCAAACAAAGTTTAATTTTGGACCCTTTGGACCTCAATGTGGACCAATTTAAAAACGGGGCCCAAAATCCAAAACCTTAATACACGGTTAGATTCAGCATATTAAAGAACACCAAGAATTCAAGAATAAAACCCCATTGAAATTGATCAAGAAATAAGCAATTTATACGAAGTATCTTCTTTTGCACAATACTGTGCAATTGAATATTTCTTGCTATTGTGCAATACTGTACAATTGACAATTTCTTGCTATTGCGCAATATTGTGCTATTGGATATTTCTTGCTATTGCGCAATACTGTGCAATTGAAGATTTCTTGCTATTGCGCAATACTGTGCAATTGAAGATTTCTTGCAATTGTGCAATACTGTGCAATTGAAAATTTCTTGCTATTGCACAATACTTATTATATAATAATTTACACATCCTGTTTGGTGTGTATCTCCTACCATATCATTATTATTTGCTTTTAAATATTAATCAGAAATAACCAACTTAAAATGGAAAATTTTAAAAGGAAAAAAAAAGGAAAAAAAGAAAAAAAAAGAAAAAAAAAAATCCCCCCCCCCAAATTTTTTGAACCCCCTTATGATTCATCACCCCCAAACTCAATCCCAGCCTTCCCTTTGTGGTATGGTACCTTGCAGTACAATTTCAGAGAGATCCATACACTTGAACACAAGTTATTGTCTGGAAACTAGAAAAATGCTTATTTTTGGCCCCTTTTTGGCCCCCAATTCCTAAACGTTTCTGACAATTACCCCCAAACTCAATTCCAGCTTTCCCTTTGTGATATGGAACCTTGTAGTACAATTTCAGAAATATCCAAACACTTACACACAAGTTATTGTCATGAAACTAGAAAAATGCTTGTTTTTTGCCCCTTTTTTGGCCCCTAATTCCTAAAATTTTGAGGCAATTACCCCCAAAATCAATTACAGCCTTCCCTTTGTGATATGGAACCTTGTGGTACAATGTCAGAGAGATCCATACACTTACACACAAGTTATTGTCTGGAAGTTACAAAAATGCTTATATTTGGCCCCTTTTTGGCCCCTAATTCCTTAGCTGTTGGTACCACAACCCCCAAAATCAATCCCCACCTTCCTTTCTTGGTATTGAACCTTATGGTAAAATTTCATGGAGATCCATTCACTTAAACTAAAGTTAGAGTGCGAAAACCAATGTGTCTTCGGACGACGCCGGACGACGACGACGACGACGACGACAACGACGACGCCAACGTCATACCAATATACGACCAAAAAATTTTCAATTTTTGCGGTCGTATAAAAACTGCAAAATTTTTGTAAAATTACTAACTCAGGGGCAGCGCCCAACAACGGGTCGTCGGATTTGTCTGAAAATTTCAGGGCAGATAAATCTAAATCTGATGAACATTTTTGCCAGATTTGCTCTAAATGCTTTAGTTTCAGAGATATAAACCAATAAACTGCTTCGCTGAGCGCAGCTGGATACGCCCGCAGAGGTCCAACCCTGAACAGTTGGGGCAAAAATGGACACAATATTCAAGCTTGATACAGGTCTGAATTTGGATTGCAATTATATATTTGATATATTGTAGGTTTCTGAATAAATGTAGTCAAAGAACTTGAAATTGGTTATATGAAAGATTTCTTGCTGTTGTGCAATACACTGTGCTGTTGCGCAATACTTAGTAAATCTGTTGTCAGACTATAAACAAATAAAATCTTATAACTCGGAAACGTAAAATCGAAAATTTATAGAAATCAAAAGGGAGCTTACAAAAATAGATATAAACAATTTACCAAAGTTTCATAAAAAATGCTGAAAGCATTTATGAGTTTTTGTCCGAAAACTGGAAAATCCCCATTTTGTAATGAATAAAACCCAATAAATCGGAAACGTATAGTCTGAAATTTATAAAAATCAAAAGGGAGCTCATGTCAATAGAAATAAACAATTCACCAAAGTTTCATGTAAATTGGTGAAATTTTTTTTGAGTTATTGTCCAAAAACTGGAAAATCCCCCCTTTTTAATGAATATAACCCCAAAACTTGGAAACGGTAAATCCGAAATTTATAAAAAAACAAAAGGGAGCTCACGTCAATAGATATGAACAATTCACAAAACGTTTCATGCAAATTGGTGAAATTGTTTTTGAGTTATTGTCCGAAAACTGGAAAATGCCCCCTTTTTTAATGAATAAAACCCCAAAACTCGGAAATGGTAAATCTAAAATTTATAAAAAACGAAAGGGAGCTCACGTCAATAGATATAAACAATTCACCAAAGTTTCATGCATATTGGTTAAAGCGTTTTTGAATTAATGTCCGACATGTTGACGACGGACGGACGGACGGACAGACGGACGGACGGACAGACAGACGGACAAAGGTATACCATAATACGTCCCGTAAACGGACGTATAAAAACTGCATTTTACCCCTATGTTCTATTTTTAGCCATGGCGGCCATCTTGGTTGGTTGGCGGGGTCATCGGACAAATTTTTAAAACTAGATACCCTAATAATGATTATGGCCAAGTATGGTTAAATTTGTATCAGTAGTTTCAGGGAAAAAGATTTTTGTAAAAGATTACAAAAATTTACTAAAAATTGATTATTAAGGGCAATAACTCCTAAAGGGGTCGACTGACAATTTTGGTCATGACAACTTATTTGTAGATCTTACTTTGCTGAACATTATTGCTGTTTACAGTTTATCTCTATCTATAATAATATTCAAGATAATAACCAATAAAATGCTTCGCTGGGGCACAGCTTGATACGACCGCAGAGGTCGAATCCTGAACAGTTGGGGCAAGTATGGACACAACATTCAAGCTTGATACAGCTCTGAATTTGGATTGTTATTAAATATTTGACACAGCATAGGTTTCTGACACAGAAAGAATGTGGTCTAAGAACTTGAATTTTTTTAATTTACCTATTATGGTCCAATGTCCAAAATCAAAATACATGGTTAGATTAAAGAACCCCATATATTTCCTTTGGACCTTAATGTAGACCAATTTAAATAAAATGCTTCGCTGGGGCGCAGCTGGATACGACCGCAGAGGTCGAACCCTGAACAGTTGGGGCAAGTATGGACACAACATTCAAGCTTGATACAGCTCTGAATTTGGATTGTTTTTAATATTTGGCACAGCATAGGTTTCTGACACAGAAAGAATGTGGTCTAAGAACTTGAATTTTTTTAATTTACCTATTATGGTCCAATGTCCAAAATCAAAATACATGGTTAGATTCAGCATATCAAAGAACCCCATATATTCAATTTTTGTTAAAATCAAACTAAGTTTAATTTTGGACCCTTTGGACCTTAATGTAGACCAATTTAAAAAACGGGACTTAAAATTAAAAATCTAAATACACGGTTAGATTTGGAATATCAAAGAACCCCAATAATTCAATTTTTGATGAAATCAAACAAAGTTTAATTTTGGACCCTTTTGACCTCAATATGAACCAATTTGATAGCGGGGCCCACAAATAAAAAATCTAAATTCATGGTTAGATTCAGCATATCAAAGAACCCCATATATTCAATTTTTGTTGAAATAAAAAAAAGTTTAATTTTGGACCCCAACTTGGACCAACTTGAAAACTGGGCCCATAATAAAAAATCTAAACACATGTTTAGATTCAGCATATCAAAGAACCCCAAGAATTCAATTTTTGTTGAAATCAAACAAAGTTTAAATACTGGACCCTATCTTGGACCAACTTGAAAACTGGGCCCATAATCAAAAATCTAAACACATGTTTAGATTCAGCATATCAAAGAACCCCAAGAATTCAATTTTTGTTAAAAATCAAACTAAGTTTAATTTTGGACCCTTTGGACCTTAATGTAGACCAATTTAAAAAAAAAGGACCCAAAATTAAAAATCTAAATACACGGTTAGATTTGGAATATCAAAGAACCCCAATAAATCAATTTTAGATGAAATCAAACAAAGTTTAATTTTGGACCCTTTTGACCCCAATATGAACCAATTTGATAAAGGGGTCTTGAAATTTGAAAAAAAAAAAATATTTGAAGAATAATTCTTTTTAATTTCTGAAATCTGAAATGAGAAAAAATTGACCCCCCACAATTTCTTTTTATCCCCCCCACTTTTTTTCCCCAAAAAAATTCTTTCCCTCAAGATATGGTCATAATCTCAATTCAAATTTCCAATGGAGTTGGCAACCATAATAACCCATTTAAATTTACCATAGTGCTAACTTAATCTATTTTATAATAGAATTTAAAATATAGTGTCAAATCTTTCATATGGATTTTTTTGTAAAAAAAAAAGATGCCACATTTGCAGATATTTTTACTGGTCTTCCTTTACAAATATGCATTTCTTTAAACATAATTTAATAGCAGTGTAATGGAAGTAACCAAAACGTTGTATTTTGATTACCTCCCTTACACTGTTTTAAATTATCTTTATTGTTCATTAACCATTACTTTATACATAATTTAAAAGCAGTGTAAGGGAGATAATTTCAATGATGTATTTGATTTATCTCCCTTACACTGCTTTAAATTATGTTTTGTACTAAAGTATTTGTCCATTAACCAGGACAACCTTGTTTTTCCCCCTTTTTTGCCCCTAATTCCTAAACGGTTTGAGCCATAACCCCCCAAAGCAAATCCTAACCATCCCTTTTTGGTATGGAAACTTGTAGTATAATTTCAGAGAGATCCATACACCGTTCCACAGTTATTGTCTGGAAACTAGAAAATGCTTATTTTTGGCCCCTTTTTGGCCCCTAATTCCTTAACTGTTGGTACCATAACCCCCAAAATCAATCCCAACCTTCCTTTTGTGGTATTTAACCTTATGGTCAAATTTCAAAAAGATCCATTCACTTAAACTAAAGTTAGAGTGCGAAAACCAATGTGTCTTCGGACGACGACGCCGGACGACCACGATGCCAACGTCATACCAATATACGACCACAAAATTTTTTTGCTGTCGTATAAAAACTGCAAAATTTCCTTAAAATTACCAATTCAGGGGCAGCAACCCAACAACAGGTTGTCAGATTTGTCTGAAAATTTCAGGGCAGATAGATCTTGACCTGATAATCAGTTTTATCCTATGTCAGATTTCCTCTAAATGCTTTGGTTTCAGAGATATAAGCCAAAATCTACATTTTACCCCTATGTTCTATTTTTAGCCATGGCGGCCATCTTGGTTGATTGGCAGGGGCATCGGACACATTTTTTAAACTAGATACCCTAATGATGATTGTGGCCAAGTTTGGTTAAATTTGGCCCAGTGGTTTCAGAGGAGAAAATTTTTGTAAAAAGCTAACGACGACGGACGACGGACGCCAAGTGATGAGAAAAGCTCACTTGACCCTTCGGGTCAGGTGAGCTAAAAACAGGACCCAAAATTAAAAATCTAAATACACGGTTAGATTCGGCATAACAAATAAATAAATGTGGTCAAAGATTTTACAAATCTAATGCGCCATACTGGTCTTCCTTTATAAATATGCATTTCTTTAAACATAATTTAAAAGCAGTGTAAGGGAAGTAACCAAAACGTTGTATTTGGATTACCTCCCTTACACTGTTTTAAATTATCTTAATTGTTCATTAACCATTACTTAATACATAATTTAAAAGCAGTGTAAGGGAGATAATTTCAATGATGTATTTGATTTATCTTCCTTACACTGCTTTAAATTACGTTTTGTACTAAAGTATTTGTCCATTAATGAGGACAACCTTGTTTTTCCCCCTTTTTTGCCCCTAATTCTTAAACGGTTTGAGCAATAACCCCCCAAAGCAAATCCTAACCATCCCTTTGTGGTATGGAAACTTGTAGTATAATTTCAGAGAGATCCATACACCGTTCCACAGTTATTGTCTGAAAACTAGAAAATGCTTATTTTTGGCCCCTAATTCCTTAACTGTTGGTACCATAACCCCCAAAATCAATCCCCACCTTCCTTTTGTGGTATTGAAACTTATGGTAAAATTTCATAGAGATCCATTCACTTAAACTAAAGTTAGAGTGCGAAAACTAATGCGTCTTTGGACGACGACGACGCCGGACGACGCCAACGTCATACCAATATATGACCACAAAAATTTGTTTGCGGTCATATAAAAATGCTTATTTTTGGCCCCTAATTCCTTAACTGTTGGTACCATAACCCCCAAACTCAATCCCAACCTTCCTTTTGTGGTATTGAACCTTATGGTAAAATTTCATAAAGATCCATTCACTTAAACTAAAGTTAGAGTGCGAAAACCAATGTGTCTTCGGACGGCGACGACGCCAACGTCATACCAATATACAACCACAAAATTTTTTTGCGGTGGTATAAAAATTGTGTATTCTCTTATTTTCAGGCTATAATGTTTATCCAAAACAAAGGTTTAAAATACATTGAATAACAGTTATTAAACATACAGTGCTTGACCATTTTTAAATTAAAGTTTCCTACATCAAAATCTGACAAAGGTGCAATTGAGTGTAACCAATTACAAATTCTTGATCTTTTAAAAAATGCTAAGTTTCTATCTATATTGTCTTAACATCTGCTAGCTACCTTCACTGCACCACTGTTAGCCTCAATGTAAATAACATCACCAACTTCTACTTTCTCTTTCTGTAGACTTTCATATATAGATGGGTCTAACTTAAGTTGTTTTGTTCCTTTGGCGGTTTTCAAACCAATGACAACATGGCTTACCGTCTTACCATACCCTACAAAGACATATTTATAGTATAAAATCACAATTCATACCATTACACTTGATTTCAACACTAATGCTAAAATTAGTATATTGCTTTTTGAGTACTAAGTATATTCTAATTTTTGTTATTCATTTATTAGAATAATTGCAGAAACTATTTTTGACAATTTCATAGTCTATTACAATGCTCATTCCATGGTTGTATTTGTTTGCAAAATAATCTTAATCCTATCATGTGCACACATTCTACATTAAATTATCCCAATAAACTCTTTTTGAAAAGCCTTGACATTTTTACTTTATATATCAACAAAGAGCTTTGATATGCCCCCTCTCTATATGTATTTTACTTGTGTCAACATTGTTTATCACTCATGTTTGACTCTTTAACCCCTCTTTCATATCATGTGACCAACATGGTAAACTGCATGGTTAGACTTCACTTTTTTTTGAGTAATAAAATTTTATAACTAATCAAGTCAGTCTCTTGAGCCAAAATTTCGAGAAAATTGGTGCCAAATTTCTTAGATATGTATCTTTTCAATCATTTATAACAAAGAAGTTGAAATAATATGCTTTTTGTTCTAAAAAAAGAGAAAAATCCCAAATTTACAAAATTGACAGAATAGGAAATTTGACACGAAAAAGCAACAAAATTTTATAAAACTTTCATTAACACCTACCTATAGTTTTTTTAGTTAGATTTATTCAGATTGGTCCACTTCATCTTTAGTGAAAGTATGAAAAAAAGTTTGTGAAACTGATTTTTTTCATGATAATAGCACAAAAATGGGTAAAAAATGATGAAAAATGGGAAAATCGTCAAAATTGGGTACTTTCAAATGGCCGTAGCAAAAAAAGAAGTGCATCACCATATGATTTTTTCTTCACCAATTATTTTTTACAGTCATATAAACCCAAAAATCAAGTTTAGAAAAAAAATTTTATTCTAGAAATTTTTGGCTCCTCAGAGGTGTACATCCTTAACTTTGTATCAATCAGCCTGTTTCACATTACAGTATTGTAACTTTGACGTATGTTAAAGAATTGTGAAAACTTTCTATTGGAAGAATACAAAACTAACCTCCCATTGGATTTTCTGTTTCAACTGGAGACATCTCAGTCACTTCTCCTTCATAGACTTCCTTTGTTTCTTTGATTCTGAGTCCAATAGCTCGTCTGAAGTTCTCCATCAATACTTCAGTCTTTTTAATCTCGGTTGAGTATACTTCACTACCAACCATAGGACAGAAAGGCACTTTTGATCCTAATTCCTGGGCAACAGCTAGCGCTATAGCAGTCTAAAAATTCATTATGAATCAAGATTAAAATAGTCTGCAAAGAGTCAATGTCTCCCATTCAACAGAAAGATACATTTCATTTTGTGTGAATACTGAATGTCATTTTTGTTACTTTTATCAATCAGTTCTGACAAAAACATTCCACTTTTAAACACACAAAAAGGTTAATTTTCTTTTAAAATATTTATGTATTTACAGTAGGTATTCAATTCATACAGTAACAGATTTTTTATTGGCGACAAAATGAATTACCTGTTTTTGTCACATTTTCTATTTATTTAAAAGCAACCAAACACTGTTTGTGTACTTGCAGCAAAAGTTAATTATTTAAAAAAAATCTCAAATCTGATTAGACCCTCAACAGATTACAAAACACATGCAATTCTTTTTTCTACAAAATTGATATCAGTTTTAATTTTAAATTCAAATTGTAGATATACTTTACTGAAAATATAGCACAGCAGTGCTTTAAGCTCCTTTAAAGGACATGTGAAGGTCTCTGAATTGTTATCTCCTTTTTTGTTTAATTATTATTACTGTGGATTCATTATTATTCGTTGGATACCAATTTTCGTGGTTTTCGTGGGTACAGGTGAACCACGAATTAAATGTTCAACGAATAACAAATTTTCTATACGCTTGTATGCAGACTTCGGTAAAACCACGAAATTTAATTTCTACGAACATGTAAGTTTTCCTTAATCCACGAATATTGGTACCCACGAAAATAAATGAATCCACAGTATATTATAAACACAGAAGGAAACTATTGTGAAATTAACAGTACCTTGCCAGTTCCTGGAGGTCCTGCCAACAATACAGCTCTACCTGCCATCTTCTTTGATCTAATAAGTTCTACAACAACACCAGCTGCCTAAATATAATATAATATCATTTATAAAACTAATGTTCATCATTGTCCATCTTTATTAACATAATCATTGGGTACACAAGCCGTATGAGACAAATTGTTCAAAACTTTTACAAAAGCTATAATAAATATACTGATTAGTTGTGGGAGTATGATTCCATTTGCAGAAATTTAATAAAAAGTGCTATTTCACACCATGCATTTTATAGTAACATTAATTGTAAGGCAAACAAGCTCAGAAATTGTCCTTTAAATAGGCTAGTGATACAGTAATTCAACTACTTAGACCACTCGGCCACTGTGGCACCCTTTTCATACTACAAGCAAGTCAGGCCAGAAATGCAAGAAAATCAAAAGCACAAACTTTTTTTTAAATGCATGAAAACTTTTCAACAGTTTTTTGTTTGGTGAAGCTACTACTGAAAGTCCGTGAAATCAAGATAAGGATTTCTCACATAAGATAAACTTGGCTTAATCCAAACAAAAAGTCAGCCCCTTTTAAGTCATCATTATTTAAGCGCTGAAGGTATTATAAGGAACTTGCATACATGAAACAATAAAATGCTTCGCTGAGTGCAGCTGGATACGACCGCAGCTGGATACGACCCCAGAGGTCCAACCCTGAACAGTTGGGGCAAAAATATAATAATAATAATAATAAATTCTTTATTTAAAGAGGGTAAACTCAGTTAGTTACAATAAACTAATCTTCCCTGAGGCCCTCACATACAAATTACAATACAATCAAAAACAGATATTTACACATAGTTAATTTACAGTCAATTAGTTAAATGTAATATTACTAACATGATAAGATATAAGCCTGTTCAAGATGTACATGTAGTCAAAAAATCAAATACAAATAAAAATAAAAGAATATACAAATACATTGTAGAAAACATAATCTTATCAGGACTGTGTTAAGTACTTCTTGATACTTTGTTTAAAAGTATAAGTGTTTTGAGCTTTACGCATTTTGTGTGGTAGTCCATTCCATAACACTGATCCAGAATAAACAAAAGATTTCTTAAATAGCTCAGCTTTTGGCTTAGGAACTATCAGATTACCTTTAGGTACGCCTCTCAGGGAGTAAGGATTATTATCTGATTTCAGTTTAAACTTTTGAACTAGGTACATTGGTGCTTCCATACGCATACATTTATATAGAAGTAAATATTTGTGGTATTTTATTCTATTGTCAACTGTCATCCACCCAAGTTCTTTAAATAAGGGGGCTGAGGGGGATAAGGGAACTGCATCTAGAATTAATCTTGCTGCCCTTTTTTGGAGTTTTAAAATTCTTGCTATCCCTTCATTTTTACATTCACCCCAAATAATACAGCAGTAGTCAATCAGGGGCAGAATATACCCATTGTAATATGTTTTCCTTGCATTTATATCTAAAATTTCTTTATTTTAGAAACAAGGTATATTCTGGATGATATATTAGCACAAACTTGGTCAATTTGATTTCTCCAGTTAAGTGTGCTGTCAATTTTAACACCTAATAATTTTTCACATGAAGAATTTTGTAATACTTTTGAATCTATTATTAAGTTTGGTTGATAAGTCTGAATTGATAGTTTCTGCTTTGTTCCAGTAACCAAACATTTTGTTTTATTTGCATTAATGAACATGTTATTCATATTGCACCACTCTTCAACCCTGTATAAATCTTCTTGAACATCATCATGTATATTTTCTATGTTTTTCCCTGATTTATGAAGAGTGGTGTCATCAGCATATAGGTCTGTTTCACAATTTTCAATGCATAAGGGAAGGTCGTTTATAAATAGCACAAACAATAGAGGACCAAGTATAGAACCTTGGGGGACACCAAATTTTACATGTTGTTGTTCAGAGTAAACATTACAAATGTTTACCTGCTGTTTTCTGTTATTCAGGTATGACTTGAAAACAGTAGCCTCACTAAATCCATAAATTTCAAGCTTTAAGCAAATGGACACAATATTCGTGCTTGATACAGGTCTGAATTTGGATTGTAATTAAATATTTAACACATAATAGGTTTCTGACACAGAATAACTGTAGTCAAAGAACTTAGAATTGGTTATATGATTTGAATTTATATTCATTTTTTTGCTTTTGTGCAATACACCATGCGGTTGCGTATTGACCCCCCCCCCCCCCCCTTTATTTTGCAAAAAAAAAAAAAAAATATTTGAAGAAATTTTCTTTTTAATTTCTGAAATCTGAAATGAGAAAAAATCCCCCCCCCCCACAAATTCTTTTTTACCCCCCCTCCCCCCAATTTTTTTTCACCTCCCCCCAATTTTTTTTTCACCTCCCCCCCAATTTTTTTTTCACCTCCCCCCTTTTTCCAAAAATTCTTTCCCTCAAGATATGGTCATAATCTCAATTCAAATTACCAATTTAACTACATCATAAAAGTCTTAAAATAGAAAATGACATACACAATCATGGCTAAAAATAATATTCCTTTAATAGTAACTTCTAAAAATTAATTGACAGCTAATCACCTCAAGACAATACAACATCTTTATACAAAATTTAAAAGCAATGTAAGGGAGGTAATCCAATTTTTTTTTTAATACTTCAAATGTATTTCGATTACCTCCCTTATACTGCTTTTAAATTGTCCATTAACCAGGAAACCCTTGTTTTTCCCCCTTTTTTTACCCTAATTCCTGAATGGTTTGAGCCATAACCCCCCAAAGTCAATCCTAACCATCCCTTTGTGGTATGGAAACTTGTGGTATAATTTCAGAGAGATTCATACAAGTTATTGTCTGGAAACTAGAAAAATGCATATTTGGGCCCTTTTGTGGCCCCTAATTCCTTAACTGTTGGTACCATAACCCCCAAAATCAATCCCAACCTTCCTTTTGTGGTATTGAACCTTATGGTAAAATTTCATAGAGATTCATTCACTTAAGCGAAAGTTATTGTGCGAAAACCAATGTGTCTTTGGACGATGATGACGACGCCAAGGTCATACCAATATACGACCGCATAAAAATCGTTGTTCTGAAGTAAAAATGCAATTGAAACAAGTACATTGTACATATGAATAAGGATACATGTACATAAACCTTAATCCTATTCTTTAATAGCAATTAATCAAAGACCTGTCAGTTGTAGAAGTTTCACCAAATGAAGGAATACTATACATTTATTTCTCTTGCCTGAGGGAGATATGAAGATTTGGGCATTGCCCAAGGGAAATGTGAATAAATCTTTACCTCTCTCTACGCCAACAGAAATGAATGTTTTATTCAACTGCCTATACTTTTTTTAAACATTGATAAATTGTACAGATAAAAAGTTAAATATCTACTTTAGTTAGCATGGTAGGTCTTTCGTTTCTACGTGTCTGGTAATTTGAGAAATCTCTAGATAACTTTTGGTTAGAATGATAGAAAATTACGCAGTTATCTCCCCTTAATTGTCAATTTCTACTGCATTTCAATAAAAAGATTTAAATAAACTGATTTATTTTTTCAAAGTTCTCCATGCCTGATATACTGTTTGTACTAAAAAATGTTGAAAGGGACAAAATAGTACAGTAAAACCTGTATAAAACGGCCAGCTATGGGACTATGAAAAAGGGCTGGTTTGGACAGTGGGTCGGTTTATTTAGGTTATCGTTTTGACAGGAAGTTATTGACTTGTGACATCAGATATTTTGCATGTAAAAGTTCTGTCTCATTGTAAATTGTAAACTATTAAAAATTAATACCGTAATAATCTATTCATTAAAAGTTATGTCATGATTTGTGTGAAAATATTGTGATATGAACAATACAATTTGTGTTTCCTGCCTTTTCACCAATTAACTACGGACGATCGTGTTTTGAGTCATCATATTCATTGGCTGTAGATATTTCAGAAATTGGTTGTCTCCCAAATTAAAAAATAATATTTCAACTTTTTTTTTACATATCCTTGTATGTCAAATCGACCTCGGTAGCATCAGTCTTCAACTTGTCAGTTTCACTTTCTCTTTGAGTTTTCATTTGCATCAGAATCAACATGTTGTTTGAATTGTTCATCGAGAATTTCGTTTAACTTCCATTGTTCATTTCCTACGTTGGTATAGCCGATTAAAAAGCATAGGTTTCTGACACAGAAAGAATGTGGTCTAAGAACTTCAATTTTTTTAATTTACCTATTATGGTCCAATGTCCAAAATAAAAATACATTCAGCATATCAAAGAACCCCATATATTCAATTTTTTGTTGAAATCAAACAAAGTTTAATTTTGGACCCCAACTTGGACAAACTTGAAAACTGGTCCCATAATCAAAAATCTAAACACATGTTTAGATTCAGCATATCAAAGTACCCCAAGAATTCAATTTTTGTTAAAATCAAACTAAGTTTAATTTTGGACCCTTTGGACCTTAATGTAGACCAATTTAAAAATGGGACCCAAAATTAAAAATCTAAAAACACGGTTAGATTTGGCATATCAAAGAACCTCAATAATTCAATTTTTGATGAAATCAAACAAAGTTTAATTTTGGACCCTTTTGACCTCAATATGAACCAATTTGATAGTGGGCCCACAAATAAAAAATCTAAATACATGGTAAGATTCAGCATATCAAAGAACCCCATATATTCAATTTTTGTTGAAATCAAACAAAGTTTAATTTTGGACCCCAATTTGGACCAACTTGAAAACTGGGCCAAAAATCTAAAATCTAAATACATGTTTAGATTCAGCATATCAAAGAACCCCATATATTCAATTTTTGTTGAAATCAAACAAAGTTTAATATTGGACCCCAACTTGGACGAACTTGAAAACTGGGCCCATTATCAAAAATCTAAACACATGTTTAGATTCAGCATATCAAAGAACCCCAAGAATTCAATTTTTGTTAAAATCAAACTAAGTTTAATTTTGGACCCTTTTGACCTCAATGTGGACAAAGTTGATAACGGGGCCCAAAAATCAAAAATCTAAATACATGGTTAGATTCAGCATATCAAAGAACCCCATATATTCAATTTTTGTTGAAATCAAACAAAGTTTAATTTTGGACCCTTTTGACCTCAATATGAACCAATTTGATAGCGGGGTCCACAAATAAAAAATCTAAATACATGGTTAGATTCAGCATATCAAAGAACCCCATATACTGTAAATTCAGAAATTATTGCGTGCATTTAATATTGCGATTTTGTCATTTTAGACTAAAATGCGATTTTAATTTTTGCGATATTGGGAAAAATCCTGTTTAATTCATATAAAAAAAATTTCAAAATGCGAGTTTAAATTATTGCGATTATAATCCTATCGCATTTTTCGCAATAATAAAAACATCGCAATAATTTCTGAATTTACAGTATTCAATTTTTGTTGAAATCAAACAAAGTTTAATTTTGGACCCCAATTTGGACCAACTTGAAAACTGGGCCAAAAATCAAAAATCTAAATACATGTTTAGATTCAGCATATCAAAGAACCCCATATATTCAATTTTTGTTAAAATCAAACAAAGTTTAATTTTGGACCCTTTGGACCTTAATGTAGACCAATTTGAAAACTGGACCCAAAATCCAACAAGAGTGCACACGCTGAAATGTCTCGCCTTCTTTACTAATCATTGATATTATGTTGATAGTCCTAAATATAAAGCTTTATTACAACTGTCACATAAACTTAACATTAACTAAGTAAACTAAACATTGACCAATGAACCATGAAAATGAGGTCAAGGTCAGATGAACCATGCTAGGCAGGCATGTACAGCTAACAATTCTTCCATACAACAAATATAGTTGACCTATTGCTTATAGTTTAAGAAAAACAGACGAAAACACAAAAACTTAACACTGAGCAATGAACCTTGAAAATGAGGTCAAGGTCAAATAAAACCTGCGTAACTGACATATAGATCATAAAATATTTCCATACACCAAATATAGTTGAACTATTGCATATAGTATTAGAAAAAAAGACCAAAACTCAAAAACTTAACTTTGACCACTGAACCATGAAAATGAGGTCAAGGTAAGATGACACCTGCCAGCTAGACATGTACACCTTACAATCATTCCATACACCAAATACAGCTGACCTATTGCATGCAGTATTAGAAAGAAAGACCAAAACTCAAAAACTTAACTTTGACCACTGAACCATGAAAATGAGGTCAAGGTCAGATGACACCTGCCAGTTGGACATGTACACCTTACAGTCCTTCCATACACCGAATATACTAGACCTATTGCTTATAGTATCTGAGATATGGACTTGACCACGAAAACTTAACCTTGTTCACTGATCCATGAAATGAGGTCGAGGTCAAGTGAAAACTGTCTGACGGGCATGAGGACCTTGCAAGGTATGCACATACCAAATATAGTTATCCTATTACTTATAATAAGAGAGAATTTAACATTACAAAAAATCGGAAACTGCGTAACATGAGGCATCCATATACAAAGTATGAAGCATCCAGGTCTTCCATCTTCTAAAATATAAAGCTTTTAAGAAGTTAGCTAACGCCGCCGCCGGATCGCTATCCCTATGTCGAGCTTTCTGCGACAAAAGTCGCAGGCTCGACAAAAACTAAATACACGGTTAGATTCGGCATAACAAATAAATAAATGTGGTCAAAGATTTTACAAATCTAATGCGCCATACTGTCCAATTAAAGATTACTTCTTGAAATTTTTCAATATTTGAAATTTGAAAAAAAAATAATATTTGAAGAATAATTCTTTTTAATTTCTGAAATCTGAAATGAGAAAAAATTGACCCCCCCCCCCCAATTTCTTTAAACCCCCCCCCCTTTTTTCCCCCAAAAAAATTCTTTCCCTCAAGATATGGTCATAATCTCAATTCAAATTTCCAATGGAGTTTGCAACCATAATTACCCATTTAAATTTACCATAGTGCTAACTTAATCTATTTTATAATAGAATTTAAAATATAGTGTCAAATCTTTCATATGGATTTTGTTGTAAAAAAAAAAGATGCAACATTTGCAGATATTTTAACTGGTCTTCCTTTATAAATATGCATTTCTTTAAACATAATTTAAAAGCAGTGTACATGTAAAGGAAGTAACCAAAACGTTGTATTTGGATTACCTCCCTTACACTGTTTTAAATTATCTTAATTGTTCATTAACCATTACTTTATACATAATTTAAAAGCAGTGTAAGGGAGATAATTTCAATGATGTATCTGATTTATCTCCCTTACACTGCTTTAAATTATGTTTTGTACTAAAGTATTTGTCCATTAACCAGGACAACCTTGTTTTTTCCCCCTTTTTTGCCCCTAATTCTTAAACGGTTTGAAACATAACCCCCCAAAGCAAATCCTAACCATCCCTTTGTGGTATGGAAACTTGTAGTATAATTTCAGAGAGATCCATACACCGTTCCACAGTTATTGTCTGGAAGTTACAAAAATGCTTATTTTTGGCCCCTAATTCCTTAACTGTTGGTACCATAACCCCCAAAATCAATCCCCACCTTCCTTTTGTGGTATTGAACCTTATGGTAAAATTTCATAGAGATCCATTCACTTAAACTAAAGTTAGAGTGCGAAAACTAATGCGTCTTCGGACAACGACGACGCCATCGTCATACAATATACGACCACAAAAATTTGTTTGCGGTCGTATAAAAAGCTCACTTAATTGATTATCCTGAAAAAACATCTTGTATAAACAATTATGTTTTGATTGCATATCGATCAATATGATTATCATGTTAAATTAATAAAACAAACCGGTTTTGACAAGTAATAATTAATGTAATTAAGAATGTTGGGACTGCATAAATAGACTGGAATTCGGAATTCAGGTTACGGTTTACAGTGGGTATTTTTACAAAGACTTTGAAGGGGGAAAAACTGGAACTTCAATTTTGGGCCAGAATGTACAGGAAACCGGTTTATTCAGGGTCTGGTTTACCAAGGTTTGACTAATAATTTTAAACTAATATTAGTTATTGACATGTAATTTTGGGCTAGTTGGTGATTATGCCAGGTGTTCAAACTTCATGGTTTTATAGCACGATATACATTCTGATGTTAGCTTGCTTTTTTAAATAATTCAAATTGTACTTGTTAACAATACAGGCTCTGAGCAATTCATAGTAGTGAAATATTTTGAATGAATTGAATTTAAATTAAGCTGATCAATTACTAAGTGTATATAATTCAGATATTGGTAGTGACATGTTCACTTAATGGTATAATAGGGGGGTGTTTTTTTTACAACTTTTCATTCTGTCACAGTTTCATTAGAAAAGAAGACTGGGTCATTAGAACGCACTCAGACTTGTCAAGTTTGTCAAAAACAATGCTTCACGGAGTAGGCAGGAGAAAATTACAATCACTAAGATTTTGATTTCCAGATAGTGAAGAAATTTAAATCAGACTGTTTTCATTCAGACTGAAAAGAATTACATCTGTGACCAATTTTCTGCAATACACATAAAATCAGAGATTGAGCAACTTGCAAAAGATGTCAAGTGCTTGATGTACCTTCTGTAATGAAGGCTCCAACATCATTAGACCAACAGCAAGAAAACATGAAAGAAACAACTTATGATCGAAAGAAAAAAAAATTAATGATTGGTGTCAAGTATTGGAGACATCAATGCATGTGGCAGAAGCCCAAATATTTTGATAAAGACATGGTACATTTAAAAGATGATGGAAAATTAAAATTTTTCTGTTCTATTTGAATGTGTGCAAAACTGTACTTGTAAAATGTGAAATTATGTGCAATCATTGTCTCTATCAATTAGTGTTTAAATATTTGATAATAGAAAAATTTATTCTACAATGCTTCCAGAACCTATAATTCATATCATTATATACACTACAGTGTATATTAAGAAAATAAAGTCCTCAATGACAGTAAAAAAATTAATAAACAGTAATATCGATATACATTAGAATCCAAAATTGTTAACTTTATTTAACAGTTGCACATTACCCTGTTCCTGTTCTGTTGATAGTCGTTGTCATGTTGTAAGTCATATGATCAGGTTGGGCTCAAGTCAGGAAAACTGGGGTATTCCCTGTTTTCAGGGAACACCCCAGTTATCTGGTGTTAAAAAACCCCAGTAAACAGGGACTTCTTTTTTCCTTGTCAATTTATGGTACGAAATCTACAAAAGCGCACCTTCTACATGTGATAACAATGTTATATGATAGCAAGTGTTTTTATAAGTTCAAAAATCAAGCTAATTTCAAGTCTTATTTGATGCTCAACTCACAACAAAACAATTCCTTTGTTCACCAATTCATACCTTGATCATCAATTATGAGAAGACAAAAAGATAAGTTAATCACTTAGGCATTTAAATTCAATGAATAGAAAATTTCAATAGAAGTGAACATAATTCAGTTATGATCAGTTACACCTGGAGCATGCAGCTTGATCAACTGATTCCTAAACAAAAGATTTGTATGTTTTTGAGTTCTAGAAAAAACAAGGCTTCACTTATTCATGTTTTGTTGTTCCTGAGATACTTAAAGTATTTACATATACTACTGATACAGTTAAAACATGCGCTTTTGTAAATTTCATGCCATGAATTGAAATAGAAAAAGGAAGTCCCTGTAAACTGGGGTTTTTTAACACCAGAAAACTGGGATGGTCCCTGAAAACAGGGAATACCCCACTTTCCATGACTTGAGCCCAACCTGATGATTTCCCTCAAATTTGTATATCCAATTACCAAAAGGAAAAATGACGATTCAATGAAAATAAAATTTGTAATACTGACTTCGTCCTCTTTCAATGGTAACACCTGTCTCATATTGTGTAACAACAGGTACGAAATGACCTAGTTACGAATCAACCATGTACAAAACCGACCAGGTTACGAAACGATCAGCACCCTAAAATTAACGATTTAAATAAAATTTCATGAGATTTTCAAAGCAATATAATTTTTGTACGTAAAATCAATTTAGGGCAGTCTATTAATTAATTCGCAGTTAAACAATTTTTAGAACTTTCCAGAATTACCTCTCGAGCAAGTTCTTGTCCAACTAAACCAGCCGCATTCTGAATTGCATAGCCATTTTCATCCAAACCTAATCCCTTAATGTGACTATGTGTAGCGATTCGTTGAGTTTTTGTGGTACTTTTCACTTCTTCGATCTTCATCTTTGTTCTTTAAGATATAACTAAGCAGAGCAACTATAAACAAAACTTTACACGAACCGGCACGCTGCAATCGTGAAATACGAGTTTGTTGTCTACAGCTTAAATCTTCTTTTCTAAAACGTTATAATAACAAAGATTTTTGAGGTTTATTTTACGACAGTATAATTTTATTGTTTTGCATGTATTATTTAATTACAACAAAAAATATATTTATCAGATTTATTTCAATCAGATAATGTTAAAAGAATAACTATTTGATATCGGTTTTAAAAGAAAAATATTTTACGACTTAACGGAAACATAGTATCGCGCATGCGTAAAGCCCATAGAAACAAATTTATTTACAAGCAAATTGGACACTAAATTATTTATAGTAACTATAAGCTTTAACAGGTAGCCGTGCATTTGCACGCTATTGGGATTTGCAAAAAGGTAGTTTCTTCAATCAATCAAAAGGTAAAAGAACAAGAAATTACTAAACGAAGTTGATAAGTGATGTCAACAACCAGTTGCGTGCAAAATTGACTTTTGTATAGGTCTGCTCCTGACAGAAACCTTTTCAGCATTTTTAAAAAACCAAAGTGGATAGACACAAAAATTATATGTAGCTCTTTGTAGGAGGTCCAATTTGGGTATACTTTAAACTTTCAAAAACAGCACCAATAGCGGCAGGTCAATTATTTACAGGTTTTTAAACGTGGTTTAACGGGTCTGTTCGCCCAAAATCATGTTCGCTCTAATTCACGTTTGCCCCCATTTGTGTTCACACCCAACACGTTCGCACCTTTTTTTAAAGGTTTTGTTTTGAATATTTTTATCGTGTTTTAGTTAGTGTATAAAATAAAGATAATAAGTTTTTTACATTGTTTTAAGATAAAAGTGACATACTAAAAACTTAAACAGGGTTACTTTAGTGTTTTTGTTAATTATTTGGACGTAATGAATAATGAATATTTTCATGATGATCAGGGGCTGATACCTGATTTTTGAAAGGGGTGTAAATTCATAAAACAGATTAAAATACTGCCGAAGATACCAAACAGCTATCAAACTTACCACACTGACATTACCAAGACATTAAAAAATGATTAAATATTTAGATATATACATCTTAAAAATATCTAATAATTTAACCTGTATTTAAATAAAAATTGGATTCGCATGTAGGGTTGGAGCAAACGCACCCACTACCATTTTAGACGGGACTAACGTCGAATGAATGAATGAATTTTTTTTATTGCAGAAGCAAACATAATAATATAGCAAAATAACAATATATAATGACATAATGATATGTTATACGGTAGTTGGTAATCTTTATATTTAAGACAATTTTTCACAAATCACACATTGATTCAAGTATTCTTGCATTCATTACCTCAAAACATTACACTTTTATTTTGATTGATAAAGCTCCAGTTTTATTTGAAAATTTTCAGATTTGTAGTTTTAGAGTTATGGGACATTATCTTAATATTTGAATAAATTTTCACATGTTGTACCATATCTGAGTATGCTTGGTTGATTATTATATAAACATAATTGTTGGAACTGAAATAAGTACGTAAGATACAGTTTAATTTTGAAAAATTTCTGATTTGATATTCCAGAGTTATTGCACCTTTACCATCAGATTAAAAATAGGCAATTTTTACATGATTTGCTCTAGTATGCATAATCATATTACTCCAAACTTGACAGTAATGTTGGAACTATTGAATGAAGACTTGCTTTTGATTTTGAAGAAAAATATTTCTCGCACAGTATTAATCTTATATTCTAACTGTCTGTAATACCGTTACTTTTTTAGCTCTCCTTGCCTAAAGGGTTGTGTGAGCTACAATGCATTTTGAATTTTTCATACTAGGTGGTCATTTCATCTGTTAACTTTTCACATTTATATCTTCTTCTCTGAAACCACTTAGATATAGTCACATATTTGCTAATACAATGTACCATAAATAGACATTTAGAGGTAAACCATACCACATAATTGACAGCATGCATTAAATTATCTAGAATTGATGACAGACTTGAGAGAACCTCAGGTTTGAAGGCAATTACAAATCTGTTCAATATTGCATTTAGGAGAAATTCAACACCATAAAAGCAATAGAAGTTTAGATTTTGATTCATTCATTGTTGTTTATACAGATATGAGTAGTCCAGAGCCAACAGAGGATTCCCAGGATGAGACAGAAGAGGAACCACAGAAATACACACAGCCATTGTCTGCACTTCCTCCTAGAGTGGTACAACAGGAGGAAAGTCAGGTGGAGGTGTCAGCTAGTCCTGCATTCCAGTGTCTTGATGAGGTTAGAATCTTAAGAGTTTTACATTTTATTATAACACAAGAGAAAAAATCACCCATGTATTTTTACTTGTTACAGAATACAAAAAACCCAAATGGTTATCTTAACATGCTTAACGTCTCATCTTATTTTTGTTATACGATGTGTGCATAAATTGGTGGTCCTAAGGTAAGTGTAAATTTGGGTACAGTACAGGATTTACAGTATAATTTCCTTATCATTATAAAGCAGTACATTGTATTTTATATTCTTTATTTCTAGCTGTTTCAAGATGGTAAATTAACTGGAACAAGACTGGCACATCTGAAGGCAAAGTACACAGATTTACATGAAACTCTGAAAAAGTGAGTTTTTTGTTGTTTATTTTTCAAAGAAAATTGTCAATGTTTTGAATAGGTTACTACAAAAATAGAAAATTGGCTTTTTGTAAGGTCTGCAGAAGATTTTTTATAATTATTGTCTATAATTGAATTGTCTCCTAACTTGAACAAATGTATGCAAAATAGATCTCCATTGACAAAAGCACAGATTCTTTGATTCATGAATAAATCAGTAATTGTAGCATATTTTTCAGGGCTGTTCCAGAATTAAACACATGGGAGTAGGAATGGAAGGCAGTTTTTGTCGAGCCTTCGACTTTAGTAGAAAAAGCGAGACATAGCGATCCTACATTCCGTCGGCGTCGTTGTCGTCGGCGGCGTCCACAAATATTCACTCTGTGGTTAAAGTTTTTGAAATTTTAATAACTTTCTTAAACTATCCTGGATTTCTACCAAACTTGGACAGAAGCTTGTTTATGATCATAAGATAGTATCCAGAAGTAAATTTTGTAAAAATAAAATTCCATTTTTTCCTTATTTTACTTATAAATGGACTTAGTTTTTCTGCCGGTAAATATTACATTCACTCTGTGGTTAAAGTTTTTAAAATTTTAATAACTTTCTTAAACTATCCTAAGTTTGTACCAAACTTGGACAGAAGCTTGTTTATGATCATAAGATAGTATCTAGAAGTAAATTTTGTAAAAAAATAAATCCATTTTTTCCTTATTTTACTTTTAAATGAACTTAGATTTTCTGCCAGGAAACAACACATTCACTCTGTGGTTAAAGTTTTTAAAATTTTAATAACTTTCTTATACTATTTTGGATTTGTACCAAATTTGGACAGAAGCTTGTTTATGATCAAAAGCTAGTATCTAGAAGGAAATTTTGTAAAAAAATAAATCCATTTTTTTCGTATTTTACTTTTAAATGGACTTAGATTTTCTGCCAGGAAACAACATATTCACTCTGTGGTTAAAGTTTTTAAAATTTTAATAACTTTCTTATACTATTTTGGATTTGTACCAAACTTGGACAGAAGCTTGTTTATGATCAAATGCTAGTATCTAGAAGGAAATTTTGTTTTCTTCCAGTTAACATTACATTCAGTCTGCAGTTAAAGTTTTTAAACAGTTATTTTAAATCATAAACTATCCTGGAATTTTACCAAACTTAGACAGAAGCTTCTTACAATCAAAAGATAGTATCAAGAGGAATATTTTTATTGATTTACTTCCTCATTTTTGTTGAGTCTGCGATTAACAGAAAAAGTAGGCGAGACACTGGGTTCCGCGGAACCCTTACGAATTTTTTTAAAACCCTGACCACTCATAAATAAAAATTCTTATGAAAATGTAAACACCCATATTTAATAAATTTGAGTGTCTTACATCCCCCAACCAACTCCATGTACATTTTAGAACACCCCAAAGAAAGATGGAATGTTAAGCAAGAGCATTTTCCAGAAAAGGATAATTGGTTTTCTGACAGATTTGTCTATACAAATTTAAAAAAAAAACATGATATCAACTTTAATAAAACAACATTTGCAACAAATCCAAGATGGCATCCCCATATAGATACTTGATTGAATGCTCATCTTCACAGTGTATATTATTAATCTTAATTATGCATTTTCTCCTTATATTTTATTTCTGACATATTTAATGTAATTTTCTGAATTGTCTTCATTTGAACTACATTTTTGTAGAAAGTTTTGATTAAGTGTTATATAATCTTACTTTAAACAGAACAAGAGATAATGAATCCAATTTACTGAAGCAGGCCAAAGAAGTACAAGTAGAACTTGAAAGGCAGAGGATAGAGCTGGAGAAGGCAGATAATTTACCAGATAAAACCTCTAACTCAGAAGTGGTCAATATCAGACGAGAAATCTTGAAAAGTGTAAATGCTAAGGATGAAATATTGGACAGAGAATATCAGTTAAATTACAAATTTGAAACGTAAGTTAATATTTAAAAAAATATTGTTATTGTCCATGTGATGATTGTTACTTTTGTCCTGTTTTTATGCATGTATATCATTTGCAGAGGCTTGTAATTTACCAAAGAATCAATATTTTACATCGTAAATGCTTATGAATAATATTTTTGAATGGGGAGTTTTTCCAAAACATTTCAACCTAAGCAAGCCCCAAATCTGGAAAAGTCTTAACACCATTTGTAAACAATCTTTCTTATCTCTTTACAGCCTGACAGAAGAAAAGAAAATTCTGGAGAAAGAATTTGCAAGACTCCCAAAGCAAGGTGTAAGTAAACTTCTAACATATAGGATCTTTGATTTTTGTTCTGGGTTCATTTTAGGCTTGGAGTGCACAGTTTGGTTATGATTATACAACAAGAATATGATAGAATTTACATACAAAAGAAATAAAAGATTATATGGTATAGAAGAAGAATATGGTATATGAATACACTTGAAAACTGGATGTGAACCTCAACACAAAACACACAGAAAGTAAATTGGTTTCTTATTTAAGCAATTGCATTTTATAACAAATCTTCTGATCGACTTATTTCTTAAACCTTTTTTTCTTAGGAAACGGAGAAAAAGATTAAGGAACTTCAAGCAGCATGTGATGAAATTAAGAAAGAAATAATGCAAAGACAAATGGAAAACAAGTCCCTAAAGGAAGATTTAGAGGGTAACAATAGACAGATTGTGTTAGATAAAAAGGAATATGAAAAATTAGTCGATGAAATGGAAAAATTTAAGGTAATTTACACATTAGTTGTTTATCAGAGAAGTAAGAAATATACTTAAAGTTAATTTTGAAATAATTTTATACACCAGGAAGTATATGGAAGTATAAATTTTGTTCCCTTCTTTGTATTAAATATTTAATCTTAATCAAGGATATCAAAGATTTTCATGCCCTTAACATTCAGCGTGGTTTTAAAATATTCAGTAAACACACTTCAAACTACAGTACAAGCAAATATACTTGAATGCTTTTGTATACTCATTTATGTTTGGTATTGTTGCAATAGTTTGTTATTAATGCAATTGATAAGAAATAAGTTCAGTATTAATTACCTTACATGTAGGTGTCAAAATATATAAGGATTTTGCTCTACTTCTATATACAATTTTATCCATATTGGGTGGTGATCCAATGAACGGATGCAGAATTAACATTTTGAAAGCAATATATACTAACATAATGTAAATTCTTTGTAGGGAGACCTGGTTCAAGTGAACTCAGTTCCTAACCAGTTAATGAAAGAGAAAGACAAACTACAGAGACAGTTCAAGTAAGGAAACAATGTTTTTATATGATATAATTTTATGGATTATTTTGATCATGTTGTATAAATAAGTATTGATTTTCACCTTTGCTTTAAGGCCTTTCCCATTTTTATTATGTTAGCAAATGACAGGGGTGACACCATTATCTAACTGTCAGGTATAAGTTATATTGGTATGTTTTAGCTATATTGATAGCATTTCTTTGGTATACTGTGGATTCATTTGTTTTTGTGGATACTAATTTTCATGGATTGAGGAATGATTGTATCTTTCCAAAGCCTATAGAAAATTTTTACATAGTTGTACACCTAAATTCATTGGTTCACCTATACCCACAAATTTTACGAAAATTGGTACCCCACTGTCACATATATTAATAAATCATCAGTAGATAACCTTTATTCATACCTTATATTTAAGATTGTGTAGATTGGAATAATTCTCTGTAATTGTTTACACCATATGTACTGTTTTATATGACCATTCTGTTGTTATTGTCCATTCAAGACATATTATGACAGGGTTCATATTCTTTTAAAATACATCAGGAACAAAAGGATATTGAAATCAAATTGGAAGGGTGGGATCGTTTAATTGGTAACTTGAATTAATCTTACTATCCAATTCCAATGTCAGATTGACTTTCCTACTAAGTATTGTGCACAAATTAATAAAAGGTTGTCTTTAATATGAAATTTTCTGGCAAAATTACATTTTATACTTTGTTCTGTACAATTTTTGTTTAGTGATAATTTACCTGGAATTAATTATTACCATTCCATTTTACTCTAGTGAAATAGACAAGAGACAGAAAACTTTAGACACTGAGCATGAAACATTGAAAGACTCTCTTAAATTTTTTGCCAAAAAGAAGGAAGATTTAACAGATGAAAAATTTGAATTAGAAACAGAAGTTGAAAAGGGAAAATCCCTTGTCGATCAGAAGAATACTGAGGTCAATATGATTTTGAAAGAGATAGAAGCTGCTAAAAATGAACAGGCTACACTGGAAGGGGACAAGTTAGTATGAGATAAAATTGATCTTACTCTTAGACTAACAAAGTTTTGCCATGAAAAGTGGAATAAAGCAATTCAACTTGAAGAATATAGTTTAAAATTATTAATTACTACATGAGCTTATTCAATTTAAGTAACTTTATTCTGAGTATTTTTCGTGCCCTGGCTATGACAGATAGTGGGCATTATGTTTTCCAATCTATCTATACGGTTAAAGTTTTGGTTTAGTTTAAGTTTACCATAAAGTTGTTGTGTAGTCATGAAATACACTTTCAATTTATTGCTTGTAACACTACTGTGAGATTTTGTAACATTACTGTGAGATTTATATTTCTTTTTACAAATCCCATGCATTAATGGACAAGTATGTAATAAAGTTTGCTATTTACCCCAGGGGCACAATTGAAATGGGTTTAAGACATATAATGTTGGAAAAAAAGAACCAACATGAAGCTCATGCTAGAAGAACCAGAGAAAAGGATAGAGATCTCAAAACATTAAAGAAAGCAGAGTTACAAGTTAAAGTAGCAGAAGAAAACTTACTTCATACCAGATCTGTCAATGAGAAGACAAAATCACAGGTACATAGAAAATTATTGACAAAAATGCTTCTAGACTGAAGCGAAATGTGAAATATGCTTACTATTTTTCAAAAACTTCCACTGTATGAAAAAAATTATCTCTGATTCATACTTAAAGCAAGAGAACAAATATCTCATTCTAGAAATTTCTACAGAAAAAAAGCAAGTAATACACACAATTTAGATTTTATATCTAGTATTTTGCTTATTTGAAGAAAAAAAATAGTAAATAAAAAAAGCTGTGTGAATAGTTTTGGGATTTAATTCATCAAACTATTTTTATGCATTATTATTAAAGTCCAAATATTTTATAGAAATTGATAATTGATATGAAAATATTTTGCTTTATTTATTCACAAAATTTACAATAGTTTTCAGCTTGTGACAACATTACTTCTTTTAAAAAGCGATATATGAATCTGTTTTGCCAAACTGATGCTGCAGTTGATTTTAAATGGTGAAATCTCAAATAAAATCAAAAACATGATGATATCAGATATGAGATGTGATGGGCACCACTTGATTTTAAGGGTATTAATTAGTTCAAGACGTGTTGGGACTCATTATTAAGTCTTATTAACCTATTGTAGGACTGTATCTATGTGACATCTACAACAAATTATAAATGACATCAATCTTGAAAATGAACAAACAAACAATTCTTTTAATAGGTTGAATCTTTACCAAAGGATGATGGGTCAATATCAAAGAAGAAGGCTGATTTAGCAAAAGAAGTTGAAATGGTCAAAGTTTCTCTTGCAAAACATGTAAGCATTGTCGTTGGTAGTAGAACATCTTGATTTTGTAAATAAATGGTTTCCAATTTTTTAATAATAGATGTGTAATGAAATTTTATAAAGCTTTCAAATATCATTAAAATAATGTGTTGTATTGTATTTTATGTCCTAAGAATTCTAAGAATTATGGATATATATTTATTGAGAAATAATGATTCCAACTTACAGAATATTAATATGATGTTAAATGGAAAAAGGAGTTGAAAATTGGTTAAAGATATGAAGAGAAAAGTCACCAGGCATCATTAAATATTTCATACACATGTAATTTTTAAAAGTAATTTTATACAATAAATAAAAGACGTTGTGGGGGTAAACATCAACGAGACTGAAACTAAACATCACAAATCACCCCCCCCCCCCCCCCCCCAAAAAAAAAGAAAATTAATCAAAGCTCATTTGGCAGTTACTGTATGGTCTTTAACTATAGGCAAGTATCTGCATTGCATATCAGATCATTTTTGTGTAAGCTTTTCTTCTCAATGATTTCTTATAACAGAATGGAAAGTTTAACCCAATTTACAATTTATTGTCTCGCCTTGACGGAGTCAAAAAGCGAGACACAGGTAAGCTGTTTCCGGCGGCAGCATCGGCATCAACAATGTATTAGTTTGTGATTAGGTCTAGTTCATGGTGAACCACTAGTGGTAGGTCAATAAAATTTGGTATGCAGTTGTATTAGCATTGGCACATCTCATTACCATGGAGATTATTTGGCCCCGCCCCCTCAGTCAAGGTCTATTGACTTTGAAACTTAACTAGTTTACATGTATTAGTTTGTGATTAGGTCAGTTTATGGGGAACCACTAGTGGTAGGTCAATGATATTTGGTATGCAGTTGTATTAACATTAGCACATCTCATTACCATGGAGATTATTTAGCCCTGCCCCCTCAGTCAAGGTCTATTGACTTTGAAACTTTGCTTAGTTTACATGTATTAGTTTGTGATTAAGTCAGTTTATGGGGAACCACTAGTGGTTGGTCAGTGATATTTGCTATGCAGTTGTATAAGCATTGGCATATCTCATTTCCATGGAGATCATTTGGTCCTTACCCCTCAGTCATGGTCTATTGACTTTGAAACTTTTGCTTAGTTTACATGTATTAGTTTGTGATTAGGTCAGTTTAAGATGAACCACTAATGTTAAGTCAATGGTATGGCATTTGCAAGTTTCATTTCCATGGAGATTATATAACCCCACCCCCTAATTATGGTTCATTGACTTTGAAACTTTTTCATAGTTTACAAGTTAATGTTTGTGTTTAGGTTTGTTTAAAGAGAAAGACTTATGAAAAGTCAATGGTATTTGGTTTGCAGTTGTAATAGCATTGGCACATCTCATTTCCATGGAGATTGTTTAGCCCTGTACCTTCATGGTTCATTGACTTTGAATATTTGCGTAACTTACATGTTAAAGTATTGCTATTTTAATTTCAACATTTGCATTATCAAAATAACAAATAGGCGAGACATATCGCTGTGTTAACAGTTTATGATTACTCTTAACTTCTTATTTCAATGAAACAGCAAATATTCCCTTTAAAAAAATTGGACTGCCCATCATGAATATTGTGAATATTTTAAAGAGTGTCTTTTGTAAGCATGAACTTTTTTTTTACATATTTTTCAGAACAAAGTAACAACAGATAAACACATAGCATTAGAAACTAGTGCAGCACAGGAGCAGGCATTGTTGTATGAACAGAGTGATCTGAGGATTGAAGTTGTTGAACTTAATCGTTTAGCAGCTATCAAGGTAAGGCTGTGACTAACTATGATTTGTTCATAAAGAGTAGCATAATCTAAGATCAAGCATTATATTCAGTTATGAAAATAGATACTTCTCAAGGATTCTCTTATGGTTTTGAACTGTTATCTATTTCTCACATGAAGAGGTATTTCTCGTATCACACTGAACAAAGTGTGATATGAATATTATGTGAAATGAACATTTGTGTTGGTTGGCCTGTCCTGCAATGTGATACAAACTTGTGATATTTCCATTGGCTATAGCCGCTATAGCTTAGGTCAATGATGATTTTAAAGGTCACAATGGACTACCTTTTCTTCTTGGCAACAGAGAAATGTGATTTTTTCATTGATGTGCAAAACACTCACATTTTTCACCTGAAAAACTTTTTGTGATATTTTTATTAGGCTGATGAAAGAGAACAGAAAGCAAGAGATTTTATGAGAGCAGAAATAAGATTCCACAAAGCAGAGGAAGATCTTCAAACAAAAGATTTACAAATAGCTGATCATAGAAAGAAAGAAAAAGAAATGGAAACCAAGTAAGTTCTACTCCTGTCTTTTTTTTAAATTTTATTCATTGCATTTAATAAATTAGTAAAATTACTTAATATTTAGTTTGAAATATAATAAAATGAAAATAACATGACAATATGTAAAAGCAGACAAAAAAAATTATGATTTATGATTTTCAAATTTTTGGTTTCAGTTTAAAAATAAATTCTACTACTGCTCTAGATAAAATCTGAATGAAAAGACTTACCTTCATAAAAAAATGTCGATAAAAATTGTGGTTTTAAATGAGGCCATCACAACTATCTTAAGAATAAGACACATAAAAGAAACCCTATATAACAAAGAAAAAGTATATATGTTTATAATTCAGGAAAAAGTGCACATGATGTTTATTTGTATTTTTTCAGGTTGAAAGAATTTGCAAAGTTATATGATGTGATAAAAAATGAGAGAAATAAATGTGTAAATTTAATACAAACAAGTACACAGAAAGCTGCAGAAATGAAAGAGAAAATCAAAATGTTACAGAATGAGATAGAAATCTTACGTCACACAGTCAATGATAAGGATAAGTAAGTTACATTTGTAACTTTGTCTTACGTCACACAGTCAATGATAAGGATAAGTAAGTTACATTTGTAACTTTGTCTTACGTCACACAGTCAATGATAAGGATAAGTAAGTTACATTTGTAACTTTGTATGCATAGCATTATTGGGAGTATTTCACAAATATCTATCAACATATTTCTCTAGTTGGTTAAATTTTCAAGATTATTGATTGCCAGTGAGACAAATATCCACCGGTGACCAAAAGACTGTACGGTCTTCAACAGTTAGCAAAACCCATACCGTATAGAAAGCTAAAAAGTCCCCAACAAGACAAAATGTAAAACAATTCTGTGAATTCCATGACTTAACCCTTGTTTCTTTGTTCTATATTTGTCTTTTTCATTATTGTCCCCTAGATTTGTATTTTTCATTTTTCCTCAACTGGTATGGTTATGGTGTTTTCTTCCTGTTTTTTCTATTTTGTGTGGCATATTTCAATGTCAGTGGTTAAGTCTTTTCTATTAATAAACTGTTTCTACAAGAAATAACATTTACACAATAAGAATTATATATCAAACTAATTAGATATTAATTATGCTGCCATGAATTTAAACTCATATGTAATGTTTTAGGATCCTACAAAACCAAAGGCTAAAGCACATGACCAATATTGTCAAAAGAGATAGCTTGTTAAATGAGTTATCTAAACAGAAGGCTGTATACATGGAAATGAAGGCACAACAAGATCAACAGAAAATGGACATGTCTAAACTAAATATGATGATCAATCAGGGAGAGGAAGAGAGCACCAGACTCCGAGACATGTATTCTAAAGAACTTAAAAAGAGGAATGATAGGTAACCTTATTTGGAATTTGCCTTTTTTATTTGATGAAGCATTATAAACATAAAACAGGGAATACATTTTATTTTATTTAAGGGCAGGGCTATTCCATGAACATATGTATGCGAGGGTTGGATACCACATGATTTTTTTTTCAGGGTAATACAGGTGTAAGTAAATACAATTCTGTTACTTATGAAAATAAAAAAAATAATGAATGGTGGGGTATACAAATAAGTGTTGTCCATACCCTTCCCACACCCCTATATTTTACCTGGAATAGCCTGTCCAATACATTCAAATGGGAACATTATAAAGCCATAGTTTGTTAAGAGTTACTTTAAGGTTAGATTTAGGGTTAGGTTGGGTTATCCTAATAAATGATATTTGGAAAAGACAAAATATGACCATGTATTAAGTATCTCTTAGGATCTTTTATATGATCAGGGTTGATTACAGTTTAAAAATGCTGAAATATTTGTTAGATTTGAAATTAAGATACTGAGGGATAATTTTGTTCAACCAGTGGGTGGTATATCAGATAATTAATGCATCTCTTTTTTCTAGAGGTTTAAAGTTGATTCAGATAGAGGAAGAGGTGGCAACATTCTATGAAAAAGTCAATATTGAAGGTAACCATATTTGAATGATAATTCTTCATAAATATAAAAATGAGAAGATGTGGTATGATTGCCAATGATACAAACTATCCACCAGAGACCGAATGACATAGATGTATGCAACTATAGGTTACTGTACAGCATTCAATAATGAGCAAAACACAAAATACACAGTAAATTAGGCCCTGACATGACAAAATGTAAAACGAGAAAACCAACAACCTTATTTATGATATAATGTATATTTTTAATGGTTTAAGTTTATTTTAAATAAATATTTTAATTATGTACAAAGGTATTTATTCAATTAGTACTGTGATTTGATGTATTAGTAAATTGTAATATTATGTAAGTCCTGTGCTTTAATAAGGTTACAAAATGACTTATCAAATTTTGTTGTCCATAATTAAGTAGAAATCACTAATCTTACAAACTCACATTTATATTGCTTCTTTATTTACTCTATAATACATGTAATATATTCAATTATTTTACAGATCAGTTAATTAGGAATGGTAACGTTGAACTTCAAACAAGAGAAGAAGAGATCAGATTCTTAAATATGCAAATGAGTGAAGATAAAAGGTCAATAGAATTACTTAGGAAAATGGTACCACAAAAACGGGCATTAGAACAAGAAAGGGAAATATTACAAATGCAGGTAAATGATAAAAGATTAGAAACAGGTGCCACATGCTATGTAATCTGTTCTTTTTTCAATATTGATAACAAGATCTCAATACAAGCTTATTTTGGCAGTTTTTGTAGTTTTTCCTTAAAAGCATAAATTTTGAGGGCCTAAAGCGAAGAATTTTTCAAAAATATAAGTAGCAATATCTGATTATGATACACCAATGTCTTGTGAACATCTAAATGATTTTGTTTGATAGATTTAGAATACTTTTTGATTGTCAAATTAAAAAATACCACAATTATCATACAGATGTCCGCCACAAGTTTTCAATAATATTGAGGTCAGAACTCTGAGCTGGCCAGTTCATGATTTTTATCCCTGTTTCCCTACGAAAAAATCCTGAATGGATAGAGCTTAATGGACAGGGACATTGTCGTCTTGAAAAACGTAGTCATTATTGGGAAAATGACAAACAACCACTGGCCACTCTTTATTGTCAATAATGTCAATGTATTTTAAGGCATTTATGTTCCCTTCAACAACAGTTATAGTTCAGACATTTCAAAAGACTTAAACAGTTTATTACTACAATTAAATGTACATTTTGAAGTATTCTGAAAAAAAAACTGGAGTTTCAGGTTGTTTTTTTTTTCAAATAAAGGAAAGATTACACTTTAATAAAGGAAAACTGTATTCATTCATCAAAAAATATTTTAAAAAAATAATCAACACACTAAAAAAAAAACCTGAAAAATAACATAACTAATATAATAATATCTTACCTGAAGCATACAGAAAGTATCAAGACTGATGTGATGTTTTATAAGACTATATATGTACAGCTTGTTCATAAATTGGATATGTCTTTTTTCGTCAGTTGGAGCAGTGTCAAGAAAGAATGGTAGAATTATTTAAAGAATTAGAAGATCCAAAGAATGTGGACAGAGTGCGATACTTAGAAGGCAAAGACCCAACACCGACAGAACTCCATGAGAAAATTGAAGGGGTAACTCATTTTATATGCCTGCAGTTGTTTTTAATTTCTGTTCATCTTTAATGGATGTTTGTGTTTAATTTCTTAGAAATCCCTAATGTATGCATGATTTTTCCCCAATACAACCCTATGAAATGGTACAATTTAGTATTATGGTTAACATCACTCTTCTACATGGTACAACATAACATAAGGGTCACCATCACTTGTATTTATGCAAAAGTGGTATTTGTTACAATTTTGCATTTAAGTCCTGTCATAAACCTATTGTGATAAAAAGATCCTTGATTTTTCAATGTTTAAGTTCTCTATTTCAGCACAAAGCAATTCCACATCTTTTGAGTCATCGAACCAACGACCTCCAGCACTCAAGGCTAGCACACTACTAAACCATTGTGGCGGTTATTGTAACAATGATATTGTACCACTAAATTCTCATTATATTGTTATCTGAAATATGCACGAAACTTGGAATAGAAACGTAAAAGTGCGATTATGGCATGTTGTCTTATGGACACAATCATATTCTTGTTTAAGTTTTGCCAATGCATGATATGACTTAGAATGAACAAGTATTGAACACTTCTTTTTGTTTAAACAGCAATTATACTCTGTAATGCAAATTATTCCAACAACTTTAAATAGATGTAAGAAAAGTTTATGGTTTTTTTTTTAGTTGGAAATGAGATTAGCAGAAAAGGAAGAACACTTATTAGAAAAAGATTTAATATTTGAACAAGTAACAAGATTAGCTGAAAGAGTAAAGAAGAAAGCAGAATCTGGCAAAGAAGATACATTAGAACTTGCCAAGAAGGTATCTTATGGTTTGATTATTACTGGAAATCATAGTATTTCTAATTCATGGAACTGTTGTAGAACAACAAACTATTATTTACGCATCCTATGAAACCTAATTTTTATGCCCCACCTAGGGGCATTATGTTTTACGGTCTGTCCGTCCGTTTCTTCGTCCGTCCATTCGTCTGTCCTGCTTCAGGTTAAAGTTTTTGATGAAGTTGAAGTCCAATCAACTTGAGACTTAGTACACATGTTCCTTATGATATGAACTTTCTAATTTTAATGCCAAATTAGAGTTTTGACCTCAATTTCATGGTCTACTGAACATACAAAATGATAGTGCGAGTGTGGCATCCGTGTACTATGGACACATTCTTGTTTATTTGTGAAGAATATGGCAAATCATGAATGTCTGGATGTTGACTTGCTTTTAAAACCTTTGTCATTGTTTACTTCATAGATTGTTTTTTTGCAAATAATATGTTTATAATCCCTAGCATGAAGTCAAGTCTAGTCTCAGTTTAGTGTTACATGTACATATTTACAAGTGTTCAGGCCAGATTCAGATTTCATTATTAATAAGTAATAATGAATTGTTAATGATACATGTACAAACTTTTGAAGGAAACTGATAAGTGTCTATAGAACCTTTAGTTATTAAACTGTTGTCTATATTTAGTAACTAATTGCTTTCAACCAGTTCATGCAAAATGTAAATATTTACATAACATATGGTCTATCTAAAGTTCCCCTGTAAAAGATAACTTTACAATTGGTAGGAAATGGTTCTAATTATCTCCTATAGGACACCTATTTACTGTTATTCCAGAACTTCATAAGTATTGACCTCAGTATTGTTAGAAATTAATGTGGTTAAGATAAGTTGTGACAATATCAGTGGATAAGTTATTTCTCTTTTTTATTAATAATTTTATTATATTTTACTTCTTAGATTCACTTGAGATTCATCTATTTTCAGACACTGTAGATTCATTATTATTTGTGGGATGCCATTTTGGGGGATTTCGTGGGTATACATAAACCAAGAGTTCAAATGTTGAATGAAGAACAAATTGTCTATAGGCTTGAATGCAGACTTTCGTAAAACAACAAAGACAAATATCCTTGAAAATACAATTGTTCCTCAATCCACAAAAAAATGGAAACCACAAAAATAGGTGAATCCATAGTAGGTATTTTTTTAAAGTGAAGGTAAAATACAATTGCTATGGAAAGAAACAGAAGTACAAACTTTGTGTGGAAAAGTCAAGAAAACAACACTTTAAATTACAAAACAAATTCAAATCTTTTGAGTTGTATTTTCAATATGAAATTATTCTATTGCACAGGTTAATGATTTACAAGCAAAAATAAAAGAAACGACAAGAAAAATGATGGCAATGGTGTCAGAACTGTCAATGAATCAAGCTAATGCTTTAAAACTTCAACAAAATTTAAAAGAAAAAGAAGCTGAGTTAGAACAATGTTATATTAGAATGGAGAAAGGAGAACCACCTAATGACGATTATGAGAGAGCATGGCTTCGGATGTTACGGGATGGAGAAATACGACAGAGAGATAAAGAAGAAATCAGATTGGTATGTACATTATTTATTTTCAGAAAAAGAAAATTTGCTCTAATAAAAGATTGGACTTAAAAGGAGTTACTGTTGTCAATCAATTTTTAAAGTCAACTGATGATTGAATGGCAAATGTTGGATGAAATAAAATAGGTTATTGTTGATGTATGGGAGAATAGAGAGAGCATATTTTTTCATTTTGTTTTACCACTCATAAATGATTATGCAAAAAATGGCAGCTATGTTAAAGTATAAAAATAATCTTTTTTTTATCAGATATTTCATAGTTTTCTTTTCAAATTATTTTACAGCAAGAAGATGAAGAAGAACAATATAAAATTGCTGGAGGTGTTACAACAACAGCAGAGCCTCGTCCTAATGCCTATATACCTGATGATGATAGTGAATTGCCAATACCTCGACCGTATGGCAAACATGCTCCATTCAAACCTTCAGAGCCAGGCTCTACAATGAGACATGTTAGAAAACCTATTCCAAAACCTATTGAAATTTAATGCATTTTATATTTGTTGATATTTATTAAGTCTGTGATACATATATTTTTTTATCTGTGATGCAATCCTGAACCTGAATTAATTATCTCCATTTGTTTAATGTTAAGTTATTGACAATCAGTGGAGTATAAATCGTGCATTTTTTATGAAGAAAGTTGTTGCCTCTAATATGTAAAAAATTGAAAGAAAAGTTGACCAATAAAACTTTTCATTGAAATGCCTATGATTATGAATTTTTAAATAAGAAAGTAAAAGTATGAAATCTTTAAAGATTAAACAGTCTCACTTATGTTTATGCTCACCTATTAATATTTTACATAAGTTATGTAATTTCTGTTCACAGTATACGTCCTAGCTAGAATAAGGTGCAGATTTATATTTTTTGTCAGTAACAAACATTATTTAATTCCTTATATGATATACTATAGTGCCTGATACTTTATGTCATTCCTACACTTGTTATGATTTTTTTATTTTTAAGATATGTGCCTCAACATGGAACATATTTAAAATCCATTTATATGTCTAAATGATTTTAAAATGTCAACTGAAATCTTGATTAGTTTCGCAGCCATCTGCTTTATGCGGCCTTATATTAACAGAAAAACTTATCGAAAGAAAATAGTTAAATTGTTTTGTTCAGTCTGTGCTTCTAATTCAACAATTAATAGCCAATTGTGTATTGAAAGACTTTTTGATGGACTCTTTTTGTTAAAGTTACAATAAGAAGTGACAACTAAGTTTTGATATCAGACTGACAAATAAATGGTCTTCTTTACTTTTCTTTTCTTTATTTTAATGAAAATTCCGTTCATACATTACAAATAAGGAAATATATGTTTTTTATATAATTACTTTTTTTAATAAACTATGAAATAATATTTTTTGTTATGATATCAAAGCGAACCAGTTGCATTCATTCAGAGGAACAGGTTTGTTCTTTTAAGAAAACCAATAGGTGATTATAAGTTGCAAGCTGAATCATCATGTTCCATGTCTCACCTGTCTAAACAGTAGAGAAGGTTCAAAGGAAAATACATCAGATGCTACATATACAAGGCTGATAAAATTTTGTAACCTGTAATGTACAAATAGAGGTCGGTCAATTTTAAAACGCATCCACTCATATCAGATACGTTGACGTTAACAGAACACAATATTTGACCCTGAGTTAAAGTCTATGTTGCATATCAAAACTTTTTATTCTCTTCATTTCATGGAAACCTAAAGCTAAAACAATTATACAGTTTTACTAGATTGGCTATGTTGGTGTTTTGCGAAAAGGGGGCTCTATCATTACCTAACGTAGGCATTTGAAAAAAACAACAGCTTTGGGGCAATGGCACGACGCCAGTAAAATGAACAAATGCAACACAGAAAAAAAGACATCCCATGCATGATTTGCCTTTGCGTTTCAATAGCAAAGTTCTACAAATCTTTCTATTTTACTTTCTCACACTTTTATTCATCGTGTATATATTTTGTTTTGTATAGTTTATATGCCTTCAACCCCTCTGGGTCTAAGTGTGCATTTCAATAATAAATAGATAAATAAATTAACTTGAAGTACTTTTCGTTTTGACATAAGGACTTGATATTGTGGGCCAAATAAATCACTTACCACGTCTACCTTTTGCGATCTCCCCCTTTTTGTTATTTCATGCCTGTTTTATGGTTTTTACCGTTTCCCCTAAGGAACTGAGTTTGCTTCATTTCTCAATCTTGCATTACTTTATATTTAGAAACGTACTATTTTAAAATCTTAAGTTTAATGACATAAACTTCTATATTCTGTGTGGCTCAAGATAAGCTGCACTCGATTTGGTTATGTTCCAGACGTGAGATAATTAAACTTGGACATTTATATTTGTTACACACTGTCACACATAGTGTCAAGTACCTCGTAAGCGCAGCTCCTACACATATTCAAACATATTTCACTCAAGGATAGTACCACATACTATTTTAGTATGTTCCCAGATACGTATACGTCAACGCACCTGATATGATTGGATACGTTTTAAATTGAGCAGCTCTAATAAAGATAAGACGACTCTAAAACAGGTGATTGCCAGCCTTACACCATCTAACCATATATATGGTTTTCAGTATATTTAGTGTCAGCTGAAAAAAGATGCTAACAATAACACACTCTCTGTATGTTGACTGACAACACTTTTGCAACTTTTTGATATTACAGAAAGAAGCATTCAATTTCTATAATTGATCATAATTATATTTTAATGCTATAACTATGAAATTTTGAGTTAGATTAAGACTTTTGTTGATTTTTCTATACATCATTTTAAAGTTGTCATGGAGAGCAGGGCCCCTCATGAAAGTGTCCAAGTAAGGGGACGACCATTTGATATTCTGGGGGGGGCCAGGAGGATTTTGAAAATAAATAACTCAGCCTTGATAATCACAAAAATAAATGGTTTGTTCTGTGGTAGTTTGAAAATAAATTACCTGACTTGCAATGTATTGAAAATAAATAACTCAGCAGGTCTAATCGAAAGTATGAGATAGCACCAGATTCTTCATAAATTCATCTTTTTTCCACAAAAAAAATCGGGAAACACTTCCCATATCTTTTAATAATAAAAGTATAAATATTATTTAAATATACTTGAAATGTCAGAAAATTGGTTTCATTTAACTTGAGGTTAATTGTCTCAGGAACACTTACCTCACTTTTATTAAATCAGGGCCGTAACTACATTGAGACAAATGCCTCATGTAGGAAATTTCAAAACCAAACGCTTGTCTCCATATCAAATTGTGTTCACCGTGAGTGCCTTGCAAGAAGCAAGTTCTGTTCTCCCTCAGACGTAGCTCCTGATTTTTCGGGATCAATGTTTCTTATTTATTTGTCTTTTGTTCATTGATTGCCCTTCTGTATTCTGTTAGTGTTGCATTCATTTTGTAATTTAGTAATTTTATTATTAACTTGATCATGAGTTTAAAAAAACACAGCAGCCACAGACTTAACTATGTGAATTACATTTTTGCTTTATCATGCATATTTGTCTTTTGATGTTGTTCCTAGAAACTTAAGTCTTACACTGAATCTATAACGTGATTTTGCTTTGAGACCAAAATATTGTCATAAAATTATTAAAACAGAACTTGCATTTTCAGTTTAAGAAAGGGTCTGGGGAACACCCAGAAGGCATGATTTTGCATCATTTGTTCTATAGCTTCTTGGGCCTTCAGCGGTTGTAAAACCCTTCAAAAAAAATTTTGCCTCGCTCCGCTCGGCGAAACATGTTTGCCAATACTTTTAAAAGAGCCTTAGTTACAACCAAACTTTAAGACTGTGTATGTATGCAATACATGTATATGCATTGGGGAATATAGAAGATTCATTTCTGCAGAGGATAATAATTAATTCTGATTAAATGGTACATAATGACTTGACTATACATGAATTTTTTATAGTAAACGAATAATTTAAAAATTGTATGTTTTCCAATATTATAAATATAGTTGTGAAAATAAATAATCAGTCCCTTGCTTTAATGAAAATGAAAAATCTTGCTTCAATAGTGCAGAAAATAGATAATCTGTCCTCTTAGTTTACAAAAATAAATAACCGATCCAAAACAAATCCTCCTGGCCCCCCCCAGAATATCAAATGGTCGTCCCCTAATCACATAATCACAAATTTTTTGCCAATATAATCAAATAATCATTAATTATTTTTTTAAACAAGATAATCAAATAATAAAAAATACAGTCCTAGATTATCAAATAATCTTTAAATATTTGGTCTGGTAATCAAATAATCACTGTAAAAGCAGCCAAGTTATCACATAATCAAAAACCCCATGAGGAGGCTCGATAGCAAATGCTGCATTTTATAAGGAAATAGAATACTGCTTTAAGAAGAACTCAGCCAATCAAAATTAGGGAATCATTAATGTAATGTAAATCATTAAGCCTTAAAATACAAATGTATATAGAATGTTTGATGTGAAATCATTTATTATAACCCTTACCAAACCTTGAAGCCATATTTGATGTTCAACTGACAAGCATGATTATAGAAATGTATAGTTTGACCTTCCACTGTCCTTGGACTAAACCTCCAGGTCAGAGAGACTGTGTTTATAGTATAATCTTGTTGGGCAACTTTATTTGGCAGTTTCCTCTAGGTAACCACCAGGACAAAAATTTATATAGTAGTATATCTTACTGTGGAAATCCCTGACCAGGAAAAACAGTTCTTTATAAGATTGATTTGTTGAATTCCAAGAGAGCATTTGATGCAATTTAGATGCCCAAAACAGTAAGATTACTGATCAAATTATCTTTTAAAAAACAATATCAACAAGTGAAATATGAACAAATATCACTTCATACTCTAATGAGTCAAAGTTTCACTGAATTACTGGCAGTGGTTTGTGAGGAATGCAATGGACAAACCAAAATATCTTCAGATCACTAGAAATCGGACACGATGGCTTTTTGAAAGAATGATTCTGTGGAAGTCTTATTGATACTAAGTCTATGGTTAGAAGTTGCAGGCACAATACCAATTTCTAACATTGCAAAGTCCATGTTTGCTGTAGGAAACCCCACAATAAATTGGATAAGAATATGGTTTTTTGGTACTAAAGAAACTGAACATTCAGTGCATAAGGAAGAAAATAATAAAGATTGACAAAGGAAAATACACAATTATTATTGCATCAACGATCTCTGAAAAGAAAATAACAGGGAGCAATGAGAATCATAAGTTGAAAAAAGGATGAACAATACAATGGCCAAAGGAAATAAACAGCTGCGCCATGAGCACATGATACGCCCGTCGCTTTTTCAAAGAATAAAGTTCAATCAATAACTTCTCAATGTCATATCAGAAATTTAAAAAAAATAAAGGGAGGTTATCTTAATAGATATAAACCAGTCACCAAAGTTTCATGAAAACTGCTCAAAGCACTTTAAAGATATTATTGTCTGAAAACTGGAAAATCACCCCCTTTTATGAATAAAATCCCATAACTCGGATAAGTTAAATCTAAAATTTATAAAAATCAAAAAGGGAGCTTACCTCAATAGATATAAACAATTCAATAGTTTCATGAAAACTGCCGAAAGCATTTTTGAGTTATTTTCCGAAAACTGGAAAGCCCCCTTTTTTTAATGAATAAAACCCCATAACTCGGAAAAGAAAAATAAAAAATTTATAAAAATTGAAAGGGAGCTCATGTCAATAGATATAAACAATTCATCAAAGTTATTTTCAAATTGGTGAAAGTGTTATGAGTTATTTTCCGAAAACTGGAAAATCCCCCTTTTTTTAATGAATAAAACCCCATAACTCGGAAACGTAAAATCTAAAATTTACAAAAATCGAAAGGGAGCTCATGTCAATAGTTATTAACAATTCACCAAAGTTTCTTGCAAATTGGTGAAAATGTTTTTTAGTTACTGTCCGAAAACTGGAAAATCCCCCTTTTTTAATGAATAAAACCCCCATAACTCGGAAACGTAAAATCTAAAACTTATAAAAAACGAAAGGGAGTTCAGGTCAATAGATATAAACAATTCACTAAAGTTTCATGCAAATTGGTTTAAGCGTTTTTTAGTTATTGTCCGACATGTGGACGACGGACGGACCGGGACAGACGAACGGACGGACAACGGTATACCATAATACGTCCCGTAAACGGGCGTATAAAAAAGACAACAGTCTACTAAAACTATGTAGAAAAACTCCCGTACTTATAACAAGTACATGTAAAAATTTGTACTGCACCTTTAACTTTCTCCATGTCTTTAATATGTTCCTTACTAGTGCATGCTGTTGCTTTAACATTACTAAAGTTTAGGCTTCATTTGAGTGACATATACAATTTCTTTTCTTATATACAAA